CTGTTACAGAATCTCTCTTTTGCCCTGTCTCTTATGGTCCTGGAAGTCCAGACAAGCATGTCTGTGATGAGTTAGTCTCAGCTAGTGAGCTTGAACTTACGTGACTCAGTTTTGTTTTCCATGCAGGTCTGCTGGGGCCTGTACGGGAGTTGGACCAAAATGATGATCTCTCACAATGCACTGAGAAACAACACACCTTGCTATGCTCATCCTCTTCCCTTCCTCCTTCCTCCTTCCTTGACTCAGTAGCCCTGCCTAATAAAAGACTTGTCACTGCTTAGAGCACCCTGTAGTTCAGAGAGCTCATTTGTGTCCTAACCATGGGGTGACTGCTAAAAACACAGATTCTTGGATCACCCACAGACTTATATATGTTGTGGACTATTAATTTAGCCTGGCAAAGATGTGCTACATTTGTTTATGCTGCAGAATATTACTTTACCTGTACAAAGGTGTGTTACAATTTGTTTGTGCTGCATTTGTTTAATTATGTACAGATGTGTTGCTGTTTCACCTTGCCTGCCTAAGACATCTGATTGGAATAATAAAGAGCTGAACTGCCAATAGCTAGGCAGTAGATGGACAGGCTGGCAGGCAGAGAGAATAAGTAGGAGGAAAAATCTAGGTGTGAGAGAAGGAGAACAAGGGAGAAAGAGAGAGACACTCTAGGGCCAGACAGTTGCCAGACAGACATGGAGACAGCAGGAAAATAAGATATACAGAAAGAAAGAGAGAGAGAGAGAGAGAGAGAGAGAGAGAGAGAGAGAGAGAGAGAGAGAGAGAGAAAGAAAGAAAGAAAGAAAGAAAGAAAGAAAGAAAGAAAGAAAGAAAGAAAGAGGGCTAGAGAGATGGCTCAGAGGTTAAGAGCACCGACAGCTCTTCAGAGGTCTTGAGTTTAATTCCCAGCAACCACATGGTGGCTGACAACCATCTACAATTCAATCTGGTGTATATGTAATGAATAAATAAATCTTTAAAAAAAAAAGAAAGAAAGGTAAAAAGCCCTGAGATAAAGAGAAACAGATTAATAAAAGAGCTAAGGGGGCTGGAGAGATGGCTCAGCGGTTATGAGCACTGGCTGTTCTTCCAGAGACCCTGAGTTCAATTCCCAGCAATCACATGGTGGCTCTCAACCATCTGTAATGGGATCTGGAGTCCTCATCTGGCCTACAGGCATACATACAGGCAGAACACTAGATGCATAATAAGTAAATTTATTTAAAAGATAAAATAAGAGCTAAGTAAGCTAAGGCCAAGCGTTCAAAACTAATAATAAGTTTCCATGTTATGATTTGGGAGCTGGTTGGTGTCCTTAAAGAAAACCGGCTACAGATTTCATACTAGAAAATCTATTTCTCACCATCCCCATCTCCCATCCCACAGTGATTCTAAAGCTGTCTAACATGTCAAAGCCACAGCCCGGGAGTTTGTGAGTGTGGCAGGCCTGTGCCTGGTGTCATGCAGGCTCTGCTACTTTCCAGCGGGTGGGGATCATTTGTAACTTCTTCTCTCAGACTTTCTCAGGTCTGCGTCCTGTCTGTCCTAAAAATGAAAGTCTGTCTATTGCCCGCTCGCCACCCCCTTAGTTAGGCTAACATCGTCCAGAGAGTAATGCTAAGCATGGCCACAGAGGTTTGTGTTCTTCACTTAGAGCTGGCACAGGACAGATGAAGCCTGCTTCCTAAACATAAATCCACTCACCACTTAGCCCTCTGCGTACGGTAGCCCCTCTGCCTGGAAGCATGTCAGTGGTTTGCCTGCAGCATTGTGGGGGCCTTCTGAGGGGTGTCCGCAGGGGAGGCATCCAGCTTCCCTCAAGGACCTCATGGGGCATCTTTTTCTGTCCCCACAGCTTCTTCTTGTGAACAACAGCAACAAAAAATGCCCACAATTCCTAAGTCCCATGGCCTGTCTCCACCTGTGCTTCACAGGAGGCTGGGTGTTGTTGTTAGGCATCTGCCTGGAAGGTACTGGGCCATCTTCATTTAAAAATGAACTTTATTTGTTTAAGATTTATTTTTCGACAGGCATTGGTGCCACTTGCCTTTAACCCCAGCACTCGGGAGGCAGAGGCAGGTGGATCTCTGTGAGTTCGAGGCTAGCCTGGTCTACAGAGCGAGTTCCAGGACAGTCCCCAAAGCAATACAGAGAAACCCTGTCTCAAAAAAACAAGAAAAAAAAAGATTTACTTTTTCAATTATGGGCTTCCGTGTGCATATGTGCACTTGAGTACAGGTGATTGTGGAGGTCACTGGATTCCTAGGGCTGGAGTTACAGGCGCTTGTTTGTTGGGAACAGAACTCAGATCCTCTGCAAGAGTAGTGCTCACTCTTAACCATGGAAGCATCTCTCCAGCTCCCTAGGTTACCACAGTACCCTCCCCTCCAAGAACATCACATAATTTGAATTCTGACACTTGCAGTGAGTACATTCCATATCATGTGTAATAAAGGCATTTTTCATGCCTGGTTCGTGCTAAATTGAGCTAATTCAATGTTTTTTTGTTTGTTTGTTTTTTTTGGGGGGGTTGGTTTTTACGAGACAGGGTTTCTCTGTATTGTTTCGGAGGCTATCGGTCCAGCCCGGCCTCAAACTCACAGAGATCCGCCTGCCTCTGCCTCCCGAGTGCTGGGATTAAAGGCGTGCGCCACCACCGCCCGGCGAGCTAATTCAATGTTAATTAAGCACGTCACAGATAAGGCTGCATTTAATTCTTGAAGCAGTTCTCTCGGTGCAATCTACTACTACCCCACTGTAGCAACGAGCAGAGCGGGAGCCGGAGAACCGGACAACCTGGCCAAGGACCTACAGCTGCAGAGGGTATAACCAATAATCCTACATCCCTGTGTCCTCCTATGCCACTCGGCAGATGATCTGTGAGCATCTGAGTGTCCTGGAAGGATGCCTCCATCCCATCCGGCACTACTCTGAGCGGCCTCAGGGCTAAGCCACAGCTGCAAAGAAGAGCGTTTATCCTATTAGAGGGTTTTCAGAGTAGAGAAGCCTGAGCCCCCAAGAGGCCAGCTTTGGGCTAGGAGCAGTATTCCTCACATGCTCAGTCTGATACATGAGAGGCAGGGGGAGCCTCAGGCATGCCTTAGCAGTTAGTTGTTCTTGGAGTTGCTGTGGTCCTTGTGTCACTTCACAACAGTAAAAATGTTGGGCCCCAGCCCCCACAGATTTCTGTGCATTGCTTATCAGCTAATAGCCACAGGTGCATTCTGCTCTTTAGTCCTGGCTTACAGCCCCGGCCTTGCCTGCCTGACATCAATATCTAGCACGAGGAAAACTCGAGCTCTTACTCCTGGGGTTTTTCCACTGTGCTGTAAGCCTGAATATTAGCCTGCTCCCTCTTCACACAGAGACCTCTTAGCACTTGCAATAAGGACTCACAGATGTGGCACATACACACGTGCATTCTCCTGGCAATAAAGGCAGCAGATGCATTCTCTTAGCACAAACAGTTGGAGGTCTTGTCTTTCATTTCTTGATACCTCAGACTTGTTCATGGCACGGGCACCACATAAAAACCCTAACTAAGACACATACACACACACACTGAATAAATGTCATTTTTTAAAAAATGTACTGTCGCCGGGCGTTGGTGGCGCACGCCTTTAATCCCAGCACTTGGGAGGCAGAGGCAGGTGGATCTCTGTGAGTTCGAGGCCAGCCTGGTCTACAAAGTGAGTTCCAGGACAGCCTCCAAAGCCACAGAGAAACCCTGTCTCGAAAAACCAAAAAAAAAAAAAAAAAAAGGACAAAGGCTAACCTTAGTTTTCTTAGTCCCCGGATACACGGTGACCACAGTGCCACAACTCACTGTTACTGATGGGAGGGAGGGTTTTGAGAGGTTCTTGGAAGAGGTAGCCAGGTTGCCTGGTGCTGGTGTCTGGGGGAGAAATGGCGGGACTGCTGCTTGGAAGCTCTCCAGCCGTTACCTGGTGGAAAGGAGTGGGAAAGCCCAGGTCTAACCATGTCTCTATGGTGAGCCAGTTAACCATCTGCCTCCGCTTCCTTGTTTGATGCTAGTAACTTTGGGAACAGAGAACTGCCAGGTCACACTTGTGATCAAGGCAATGGGCATTCATCACCAATAAGTATTTATTTAAGGCCCTTTATATACAGGGACTCCCTTCTAGATGGTAGATCAGAGGTCAGAGCGTGGTGCTTATGCTGCGGTAGTAGGGAGACAGAAAAACATAGGAAAGTAAACACACAATGTGTAGTCGGGAGTTGTAAGAGGATTAAAGCAGGACAAAGGTGGGGGTGAGTCAGGGTGGCTTCTCTGAGGAGGTGGATATGGGTGGATCAAGGAGCAAGGCTATGGGGGAGGCTGAGGCTGAAGGAGGAAGGAACAAGCCAGAGGCCCAAGGCAGACTGGGGGGTAAATCTGGTGTTTTTAAGGAGCAGAAAGTTTGGTGTGAGGTAGGAGATGGCATGGGAGATAATTATGCCAGGTAGGACCTCTGGGCTCAGAGAGGAGGCTTATTCTCTCTGCGACTGTATTGGAAAACCATTGGGAGGTTTTGAGCTGGCCAGGGCCTGCACTGGTTTCCCTAGGAGAAGTGGCTGTGGTAATGAGGAGGCTTGAAGATTGACTAAGGAAGCCCAACTTGGGGGTTCTAACAGGGCTCCTCTGGGGTGATGACCATCTGGGTAGAGTAAGGGAAGTGGAAGTAGTCAGAGGTGACATGGGGAGGGGAGGGGAGGGGAGATAGGAGAAGGGGTAGGGTACAGGCCCATCAAGACCCAGGTGTCTTGGTGGCCCTAAATGAGTAACTGGAATGGGGAGTCCAGCATCAGTGAGCTGGAAGGAAAGACATGATATAGGTACATGTGAGATGGTTGATATAAAGTTTTGGGGGCATTACTGTTTTGGGTGATGATGGTTTCTGGGTTCAGACCATGGGAGTGGGTAGAGTAAAAGGGAAAAGCCACGTGAATGAGTGAGTGGCCCATCTGCATGAGTAAAGACACTGTAATGCCTTTTGTGTTGCAGAACCAGATTGTGGAGCAGTATGAGAGGCTACAGGTCAGGGCATCACCGAGTCTGAGCGGAGGTCCTGGAAAGGAAGACTCAGAAAGCCGTGGTAATTCTTCACTTTGCTCTCAACACTGTGCTGCCTGCTAGGATAAGACTCTAGCCCAGGTCTATCATAGTCTAAAATCCCTTTCCAAACTTACAACCTCATTGAGCTACTGGATGAGCTGGCTGTTTACTTCAGTACACAGGCGACAGACTAGAGAAAGAATTCTCGGTGACTTTGGCATAGAAACTCAAAAAGACTAGAATGTTTTCTCACAAAATTGTAGACTTCTTTATTTTGTGTGTGTGATTGTTTTGCTTGCATATATGTATGCACAACACCTATGTGCCTAGCATCCACAGAGATCTGAAGGGGGCATTGGATCCCTTGGAACTGGAGTTATAGATGGTCGTGAACCACCATGTGGGTGTTGGGAGCTGAACCCAGGTACTCTGCAAGAGTAACAGGTGCTCTTGATTGGTGAACTATCTATCCAGCCGCAGACTTTTACTATGGAATTATTTTGTGCTCATTTTCAGAATTATGAAATTCCTTGAGCGCTTTTTCTTTTTTAAACCAGTATGAAGCATGAACCCAGGGCCATGTACAAGCTAGGCAAATGCTGTTCCATTGAGCTACATCAACAGTCCTTTCGAGATCTTCTTTTGTCTGTTTTGTTTATTGAAACAGTGTTTTGTGTAGCCTAGGCTGGCCTCAGACTTGCTGTATAGCCAAGGCTGATCATGAACTACCAATCTTCCTGCCGCCTCGTTTCCAGAGTGCTGCCATTAGCTGCAAGCGTCTCCATGGCAGGGATTTCTGAAGTACTTCTATGACAATTTTATGCAGCAGGTGGCAGTAAACATCCCTATTTGAAGATAGGGAAATACATCTCACAGAAATTAGTTGACTCGCCCCAGTGATCCATTGCAGGGTCCGTTCTGCGTCCTGGGTCCTGACTCTTAGGCCAATGCTGTTTCTGCCCCATCCCAAGGCATATCCTTTACTCCGCACCACTGTTATGTCTTCACCCTTAAGAAGGCCCCTCCGGGCAGCACCGGGCTGAATTTCTTTTCAAATGCCATCTCACCCACTCCTACCTACACACACAGCATACAGAATAAGTTGGGCACTGCCTTAACCAAGTTTCTTTAGTTGCATAAACCGAACTGCCATAAACAAGTAGAGCACTCATGGCAGGACATAGGTTTCTCAGGAGATAAAGGAACCAGAACTGGGAACTAGACAGCAGCTAGGAATCCAACTCATTTTCGTCCGTCTCACTTCTGTTTGCGTGAAGGTACTGACTTCTCTATCTCAGTCCGTCTTTGGCTCTATCACTGTTTTTATTTTCTTGTCCTATTGCTCTGGCTAACCCTCCAGTACGATATAAACTAGAAGCTCTAGTAGCATACCCTGACTTTAAGTGAGAGGCTTCCAACATTTTATTTAACAAAATCTTGATGAGCACTTCCCACCGGCCTGTGTGCTAGACACCCTACAGTGGAAGAAACAGAGTGCTCGTTTTGTGAATGCTACACTCTTCTCAGGAGAGATGGGCAATAAACAACAAAGCATGTGTTATGTCAGAAGGCAGTGCATTCTTTGAGGGAGCTGTAAGTAGGAAGAGAGGACAGGGGTATTACCTGTGGTATGTAAGAAATGCTCTCATTAAGGTTGATACTGCCGGCTGGTGGTCGCTCATACCTTTAATCCCATCACTTGGGAGGCAAAGGTAGGCAGATCTCTGAGTTCCATGCCAGCCTGGTGAACAAAGTCAGTTCCTGGATAGCCAAAGCTGTTACACAGAGAAATGCTGTCTGGAAAAACAAAAAAGGAAGGTAAATTGTTTATTGCAAAATCCAGAGTTTGTTCCCTGGAACCCATATAAAGATGGAAGGAATCAACTAATCTATAAAGTTGTCTTCTTACTACTACACATGTATGTACCGGGGTGCAGACACACAGACACACACGCACTACACAATAATGGTAAATAAAAGTTTGAAGGAAAGGTTTATGTGTTCTCAGAAACCTAAGAGGTGGAGAGATTAACCACACATCTGAGAGAAGTGTGTAGACCGTGCTAGCAAGTGCAAAAGCCCTGGGCAGGAAGGCACCCAGCCTGCTGGGGCAGGAAGTCCTTCAAGGCTGACGCATATGACCAGGTGTGATGACAGGAAGAAATACATCAGAGAAACAAGAAACTAGGTCAGAGAGCAAAAGGTTCAGGGAGAAGCTGGATCCCACCCTCTTGGTCACAGAGGGGCTCATCTTCATTTCAGGTACAAAGAGAAACCACTGAAAAACTTTAAAAGATACAGGTAAAGCCTTGAATTTAGGGGCTAGAAGGGTGGCTCGTGGTTAAGAACACGTCCACCTCTTCTAGAGAACCTGAATTTAGTTCTAGTTCCTGCTTTGGGCAGCTCACAACTGTGCTTAACCTCAGCTCCTTGAGATCCAACATGCATGCGGCATGCACACGCACAGGCAAACACACACACGCACACTCACACACACACTCACTCTCATGCTCACACTCACACACACTCACACATTCACACACACACACTCACACAAACACACACACACTCACACAGAGAGTTTCAGACAGATTGAGACTTCTGTTTAAAAAGAAACTCCTTGCAGCTGTAGTAGGAGGTGCCCAGCTGGGGAGCAGTTATAACAATACAGTGAAATCAGTGTGCTCCAGACCCAAGTGAGTTTCCTTGATGGTCGTGAAACTGTTTTCTCTTCCACACTGGGCAGATTATGGGTCTTGGTTTCTTCTATAAAAGAGGGGTGACTACTCCCTGTGCTATACAAAGCAGGTCTTCAGGGACAGGACCAAGAGAAGCAACTAGCTGTTCCTGGCCCCCTGACACATCTGTCAAGAGTCAAGTGCAGGTGCTTCATGTAGCAGCTGGCATCTGGCTGTGAGGAATAGCGCTAGGCTGAAAGTCTGGAGAGTAGGCTTTTAGTTCCGCCTCAGTCACTGGCTGGAGGTGTCCAAGCTAGCAAGAAATTTCCCCTAAGACAGCATGAGTTTCCCACACAGTCACGAGTCTGTGTTTGCAGGTACTTACTGCATGCCAGACTTTGACCACTGAGTGTTAGAAGATGATGCTTGTTAACATCCTTAGCTGAGCCAGTGGTGGCGGCCTCTAATCCCAGCAGTCGGGAGGCAGAGGCAGGCTGATCTCGGTAAGTTCAAGGCCAGCCTGGTCTACACAGAGAGTTCCAGGACAGCAAGGGTGATTGTATGCAGAGAAACCCTGTTGAGAAAGAAACAAAAGACAAGAACAAACATACAAAAAGAAACATCTTTAGCTAAGAATATTTTCAAAGCTCCTCTATGACACATAAAAATCTTGTGTTGGAACCAGTTGGAATGAACGAGCCTTAGCAGAGGATAAGATTTTGGCCCTCAGGTGGAGTGAAACTTGACCTGGAGCCTCGTTCTTATTCCGGTTGATGGTAATAACTCTTTAAGGCCATTCTGTCCAGTGATCACTATGATTCCCTCACTTTTGTCCCATGGCCATCATGTTTCCAACTGTGAAATCAGCAGGCAATTCTAGTTCATCCCTATGCCCCGCCCACCCTTTGTACTGTGGCCCTGACCTTCTGAGCCACGGCCTGGACATTTGGATCTCGGGTTTCTCTTAAACCACACTTTGGAACTCCAAAAGCTAGGGTGTCAAAGTAAATGGCTTGAGTACCTTTATTCTCCTTACTCTGCCCATGGCAGACATTGTCTATCATTGCTGGCATCATTTCTGCTAAGCCTGTCCATGCTCTCCTGTTTGTGACAGGGTCTTTTCCAGGATCTGACTCCTCTTGTTTTATCCCTTGCCAGAGCATGGCTAGTGCAACGCAGGAACTGGTTATCTAGAGGATGAGTCTGGTGAGGAGCATGTGTGAGAGTGAGGGACAACAGTTACTGGAGCAAGTGTATGGTGAAGAGAAGAGGGTCAACCAGAGTATCCTGACTGAGCTGGCCTATTGGACCGAGGAACTGAAGAAGCTGGACAACATCCAGACCAGCCTGGTTGGCATGCTAACCCATCTAGATGACCTCCAGCTGGTTGCAAGTCAGGAGAGGGTGAGCACACAGGAGGTTGGCCAGATTCCCCCAGATTGGAAGATCTGAGAATGCCAAAAAGATGGCAATGAGCCTTGGGACAGGGATGAGTGACAGCGATTTCTGCCAGACTGTAATGCGGTTTCTATCCAGGCACCTATGTGCTTTCTGACCAAAGACCCAGCTAAATAAGCTTGGCCAAAAGCCCCCACCACTGACACTGATAGCCCTTGGCAATTACCAGACTCCACATGTCCGCAATCTCCTAGGGGTTTCTGATCATCCTGGCCTGTCTTTAGCAAGGATCCTGTTAGGTAGGGTTACTTAGATCCCCTTTTCCCTCAATGTTTCCTCTTAGCTAGTGGTTCTCAACATGTGGGTTTTGGCTCCTTTGGGAGTTGAATGACCCTTTCACAGGGGCTGCATTAAGACCACAAGAAATCACTGATATTTACATTATGATTCATAACAGTAGCAAAATTACAGTTATAAAGCAGCATTGAAAATAATCTCACGGTTGGGGGTCACCATAACATGAGGGATTGTATTAAAGGGTTGCAGCATTAGGAAGGTTGAGAACCACTGCTCCTTGGCCATCAATTCCATGCTGTATTCAAAGCTGAACTCAATCTCTCTCTCACCCACTGAAAGATGACCTGGCAGTAGTCCCTATAGCTATCTCCTTTACTATGTTTAATATCATTGACTCATTCCACTTTTAACACTAGACAGAGGAATAAAATTTATCTGAATATTTTGGCACTCTAACAATATGCTTTGAACAGCAAGCAAATCCTTATTGAATGTCTAAATGTTGTGTAATGGGGCAGAGTTATGGGGCACAGCTGCTGTTGCTCCCAGCCCTACCTAAGAGATGAATATAGACAGACAAGTAGACTGTGTCATGTAGTAGAGGAATCCCTGGGAGGTCGGAACACCCCCAAGGCAGTTGGAATAGATCAAAGCTTCTTGGAGAGTGACTTAGAAGTAATAGAAGAGGTCCCGGGTCCAGGGGAATGGGGGGAGGAGTGACTTAGAAGTAATAGAAGAGGTCCCAGGTCCAGGGAATGGGGGGAGGAGTGACTTAGAAGTAACAGAAGAGGTCCCGGGTCCAGGGAATGGGGGTGGAGAGGGTTCAGAAGTACACTGGGAGAAGGCAGTGCTTGGCACAGACAAGGGCACCAATATAGAAAACGCTCTCAGTTCTACCAGACACAGCCACGATTGATATTCAGTGTGCTGCTCTTCACAGCACTTTGTAGATACGCAGATGCCTCTAGTTTTGAGGGACAGTAAGACACCTGAGTAAAACTACCAAGCGGAGGGAGAATGAGGAGACACCAGGCCAGCCCCTGCCTTTCAAGTCGGGCAGTCATGGAGACTGCCCTAGATTGTACATTCATTCAACACCAGCTTCCAGGCAAGAGCACATTCTGTCCCATCTGCTGGAACAGTCACAATAAAAGATTCAGAGAATCATAGGCATCCAAGAGCAGGCAGTCTCCATGGCAGGTGTCCGTGGGGAGCTGGGTCTGTGGAGGATGGTCCTGAAGTGGAGTTGAGGGGAGCCCAGGACGTCACAGGGTAGGGGGCAATGGCTGATTCATTCTTTGTGTGTGCTGGGGTGGGGCGGGGTGGGGCGGGACGGGGTGGGGCATGTGATGTGGGAGAGAACAGCCAGGAAAGTTTTGCTCTTGGTCTTTGCTGTGAAGTCCACCTGCAGTTGTGGGAGGGAAATGTGTTCAGATGTGTCCACGTTGAGGGGTTTCTGCTGCCCGTGTGACCCCGTCTTCTTCTCTTGCAGGAGAAGGAGCAGGAGGTTTTTGACAGGTGAGTGTGGCCTTATAACTTGCTCAGACAGTCACTGAGACCCAGGTCTTTTTCATAGGCCATTGCATTCCAGGCATGTAGCTGAGCCACTTCCTAGAGCCTGGCTCCAAGGTCAAAGGTCATCCCTCTGACTCCCTACCCCATAAGTCTTCTTTATATCCATGCGAAAAGGCACTGAAACAAATACTTGTTAGCCAGCGGCTTTCCCTGGGCTTTCTTAAATGTATCCAAATTCAACTATGGTTACCCAGGGTAACGCTGAGGTCCAGAAAGGGTAGGGAGCTTGCGGAGACCCAGAACTGGAGTCTGGATTTAACCCTGATACCTGTTTCCCTGATATCTTCTCTACAAGGTTGTTGTTTAGTGATACAGTGCTTTTGCATGGTTTGTAGGTCTTGGATTCAATTCCCAGCCCTCTAAAAAGAAAAAAAAATTGAAAAATGAGCCTTCATCAACCCTTTCTAATCTCATTCCCCTAGAGATGTGGGCTGCTTTAAAGATGTGGATGTTTAAAAATTTAGTTACTTAGTTATTTTGTGTGCACATGTGTGTAGGCGTGCCATGGTTCATGTGTGGAGGTCAGGGGGACAGCTTGACAGAGTGGATTTTCTCCTCCTACCGTGTGGGCACTGGGGATTGAACTCAGGTTGCCACGATATGTGGAAATCGCTTGAGCAACTGAATCAGCTCACCAGTCTTAGATGTGGAATCCCATTAGATTTGAGCTTTAGTTGGAATATATGTGGCTTCGTGTGTGTGTGTGCCTGTGTATGTATAAATGATGTGTGTGTAGGAGCCCGAAGATATCAGAAGAAAGCATTGGATCCCTTGCAACTGAATAAGTTGTGAGCTGCCATGTAGGTTCTGGGAATTGAACCTGCCTTCTACAAACCATCACTCCATCCCTAGTTGGGTTTTTTCTTTGTGTGTGTGGTCTGTATACATGTTTTCATGTTTGTGTGCACATATCATTGTGCATGCAGAGGTCAGAGCAATCTCAGATGCTGGGTCTTGCCTTCCATCTTGTCTGAGACAGGGTCTCTTTGTTGCTGGCCTGAGGGCTTCCTACCTCCTCCTCCCATCTCACCTAAAGCACAGGGATCATGGATGCATGCCATCTCACCAGGTTTACATGCCATCTCACCAGGTTTACATGCCATTTCACCAAGGTTACATGGTTCTGGGGATTCAACCTCCCGTCCTCAACTTGCACTGCAAACGCTTCACCTATTGAGTCCTCCCCAGCTTCCAGGCATTCTGTCTTGATGGCTAAACATCCCAGGTCTCTGTGCTCCTCAGGCTTGTGTTAAGAGATGGGGAGTGGCTGGGACCAAAGCAGGGGAGCATTTACTGTTGCAGTGGGTTTTGGAGGCAGTGAGATATTTTCTGGAGAGTATAATAGAGAAATGTTATCATACAGCAAGTCCTGAGGCCCAGATCCTATCCCATTTCTGCTGTCAGCTTACGGGGGCACTCATGAGTCACTTACACCACAGAGCACACAGCTTCCAGGACCCACCCCCAAGATTTCCTTATTTTTGTCTTTGGGTGTGTGTGTGTGTGTGTGTGTGTGTGTGTGTGTGTGTGTGTGAGTACAGGCAGGTGCAAGTGTTCAGAGGCTTTCTGATCTGGAACTGCACTGACAGGTGGTTGTATTGGAGCTAGGAACCTCTGCAGAAGCAGCTGTCACTCTTAACTGCTAAGCTGTCTCCAGCCCCTGCCCCCACTTTTTTTTTTTTTTTTTTTTTTTTTTTTTTTGGTTTTTCGAGACAGGGTTTCTCTGTGGCTTTGGAGGCTGTCCTGGAACTCGCTTGGTAGTCCAGGCTGGTCTCCGCCTGCCTCTGCCTCCCGAGTGCTGGGATTAAAGGCGTGAGCCACCAACGCCCGGCCCTGCCCCCAGTTTTAATACCAGTTAAGACTATACTTCCGGCCGGGCGATGGTAGCGCACACCTTTAATCCCAGCACTCGGGAGGCAGAGGCAGGCGGATCTCTGTGAGTTTGAGAGAGAGAGAGAGAGAGAGAGAGAGAGAGAGAGAGAGAGAGAGAGAGAGAGAGAGAGAGAGAGAGAGAGAGAATATACTTCCTTATAAACTGTCTGCTTTGCTGGAAGGAAGGCCCCCAGGGGATTCAGGAAAGCCACTGTCCTTTCTGGCTAATACAATCATGGTGTCACCCTACAAGAGAAGGATTTTACCTTTTGTCTTCCTCCCCTCACCCATGTGGATCCAGATGCATTTCCAGAACCTTCCTGAACCCCTGTCTCTTTCTTTCTGTTTAAGGGCTGAGGAAGCAGAGGGCATTGTGGATCCCCAGGGGTCGGACGAATTAACCTTTGACGAGAAGTGTGCTTGGAGCCCACTATTTTTTTTTTTTTTTTTTTTTTTTTTTTTTGGTTTTACGAGACAGGGTTTCTCTGTATTGTTTTGGAGGCTATTGGTCCAGCCCGGCCTCGAACTTACAGAGATCCGCCTGCCTCTGCCTCCCGAGTGCTGGGATTAAAGGCGTGCGCCACCACCGCCTGGCCTGGAGCCCACTATTGACTCAACTCTGGGCAATATCGGTTCTCCGGTCTCCGGTTAGGAGCTGCAAGAACACAGCACTGCGTGCGTTCGTGCATGTGTGCCTATGTGCATGCCTGTTGGGGGTGGTCACACCCAGCATTAGTGCATCGGGGGATGGTAACCCTGACAGCCAGTAACGGAAGCAGGCTGCTAAGTAGGGCCAAGGCACTGGCGGGGCTGAGCAGTCGACCAGATCATTCCCATTTCTCTGGTTAGGGTTAGGATTCATTTTGCTCTTTAAGTCTCGCCCTCCTTACATTGTACCTTTCTGAGGCAGCTCTTTATCATTTATTGGAAACCTCCCATTTCTTTTTAAAAGTAGAATGGCATCCCCATGGACAGCATTCTGGACCACAATGACAGAACTTGCCTCACCCATTCATTTAACAAACATCGGCCTAAATGGTTGAATGTGGTGATGCACACCCGTAGCCCAGCACTTGGGTGGCTGAGGCAGGAAGATTCTGCATTCAAGGCCAGTCTGGCTACCTATCTCCCTATCTGAGACCTTGTCTCAAGAACAAGAGAACAACAAAACCTTAACTGGTGTTGAGCGTGGGCCTGGCCCGGTACTGCGTACTGGGGCATCAGAGGCGAAACTTACCATCTCCCAAAATTCCCCCGGGTTGGATGGAAGCTCATGTGCCCTGTGGTGATAGACTGAAGCTTTCTAAGTTATACACACACACACACCTAATATGCTCTGATTTCTGATATCAGATGGTGCCTGGTTTAGTTAACTTTGAAGAACTGTTTGTCTCCCAGTTTCTGGGCTCTGGAGCCACAGATACCATCAACTTGAAAGCCGTATGATAGGGGTTACTGAAACACTGGGTCTTCATTTGACCCTGCCACCAGCCTGATGTGGGAACTTGGGCAACTCATGTATTCTTTCCACATGAAGATTTTAGAACAGTAACTACTGTTCTCCTGGATACAGTTACTCAGCACACAGTATATACAGGACACTTGACCCGTATTATTTCATATAGTCCCCATGACTACCCTGTGACAAGTCCTATTTGGTTCCCCTTTAAAGATGAAGAATCTGAGGCTTAGGGAGAGTAAATGACCTGTGTGAGGCCTCAGTGAGTGGTAAGAACTCTTTGACTATGCGATAGGGCCAGATTAGGATGGAGTTGGATAGGACCCTGGACAACCCTGAGAATTCTTTCTGGCAGGCACGGAGGATTTGTTTATCAATGAAAGGACTGTTAGCCCCTTATTGTAATTGTCTGAAGATTGAAGGACCCTGACCTTCAGTGCCAAGAAGTCCGAGGCCTGCACAGATGACCCAGAGCACTTTGACCACTGGCCCAATGCCCTGGCTGCCACCACCTTCCAGGCTGGACTCCATGCCTGGATAGTCAATGTTCAGCACAGCTGTGCTTATGAAGTGGGCGTGGCCTCAGCCCAGCTGCCCTGAAACTGCTGCCTGGGCCATAATGCCTTCTCCTGGGTCTTCTCCTGCTGTGATCAAGGATTCCTTTTCTCACACAACAGGCAGCACGAGCCTCTGGCATTGCTTCAGTGCCCAGCACAGCGGGGCGTGCTGCTGGACCTCCAAGCAGGAGAGCTGCTCTTCTGTGAGCCTGCCTTGGGGACAGTCCTTCACATCCACCGCTCATCCTTCTCTCAGCCGCTGTCCCCAGTCTTTGCCGTGGCAGACCAGGTCATCTCCATCGTCCACTGGCCACAGTGAGATCAGACCCACCTCCTCATCACCCTTGTAGGTCAGGCCATGTTTCCAGCTAGTGTCCTCTCCCCCAGTGGTGTGTGTAGTCTCCCTCATAGGTAACCGTTGGAGAGATGGGATATGCTTCCGACTCAGACATCACCTTTCCATGCTTGTCTTCTGTGGGAACCTGCTTTTCTCTTGGCCTTAGTCTCCCAAACCCACCACGTTTGTGCCTTTGCAAGGGTCTCATCAATCTGTGTCTCTGGCATGCAGCATGGTGCTGGTGCATGGCTAGCATACAGTGAAGTTCAGTGAGGGAGTACACGGTTGGCAGGCGGGTGACCAGGGATGTGGCAGTTCCTGGAGGAGCACGGCTGTGCCTGGAGGTGCCTCTCTGCAGAGAAGTGTGTGAAGTGTGGAGGGCCTCAAATAAGGATGGCATAATAGAAGCCATCTTAATATTCATTCTGTATTCTTAGAGACTAACACAAGTTTCTATTTCTCTGTCTTCTTATCTTCCTGTACAGCACATTTTCAAGGTCTGCAGTCCAGGCTCTCATGCCCTTCTGCCACCTGGCCTGCACTCCAGACTCCCCCAGCTGCAGACTTGTCTGTGGAAAGTACCCTGCAGAGGAGAACTTCTGCTCCCCCGCTCTTCTGCTGTCTGCCCCACTTAACCCTGCAGTACTGTCAATAAAGGAGACTGTCTTGTCTCTGTCTCTCACATCTCTTGTTCCCCCCATTCTCATTCCCTCCCCAGGGTCCCCGTTGACTGACCCCGAGGGCCCGGGCAGTGAAGTCCCTAGCCTTTGACTAGTTCAGTATTTTTGTCCGTTTCATGACCCAGGGAATAGAGAGAATAGTTTTCTAGCACACCAAGGACAACCTGCCAGGCTGCTCTTGGCCAGAAAACCAGCCTGTGAGTGCCATGACCTTCTGCCTTCTCCCGTGGCAGTCTATCCTCTCCAGGAAATGTGCTTCCGGCACAGTTGTGGGCCTCTGTCCCAGGCCCTGAGACTGAGCTCTAACGTGGACCTCCCTGTGATACGGTGATCCTCCATCACCGTGCTGATGAGCACCCCACATCGTGACTCTTTCCTAGGGAGGCAGACCCGGGTGGAGAGCTTCAAGCCAGAAGAGCTCAGGGGAAAGGAGGGCTATCCTTAATGAATGAATGATTGAGAGTGTTATTAAAGGCTTCCAAAGACTTAGTGATGTCTTTGCTGGTAACCGGCTTCATGCTGCATAACAGCCTTAGGTACCTGCTTAGAAATTAAGTAGGTTGTCGCTCTACTTAGCAGAAAGAGCCTGGAGATGTTACTGGAGATGTGGAACCAAGGCCAAGTCTCATTGCCATGTCCTCCATAAGGAGTTCATCTGAGAACAAGTCTTCTTGCCAGCACTGGGGTGAAGCATGGTAGCAGAGCACATGGCTTGCATGCTAAAGCCCTGAGTTCAATCCCCAGCACTACAAACAGAACAGTTTGAAAACCAGTCAGGGTGTTCTCAAAGTCCAGCTGACAAATAATCACTGTTCTGCTTCAGTCCCTTGTTCCCATATAGAAATGTGGTCCCAAGATGACTTGGAGGGAGATCTTTGGAGAACAGTGTGTTCATGTGTGTATTTGGGTTTGCATGTAAGTGCATGCATGTGAAGGCCTCAGAGGATGGCCTTACATGTCATCTTCAGAAGTGCCATCTCCTCTGTGGAGACACTTTTCCAATTGAGCTATCTCCCTAGTTGTTTTTGATTTTTAAACTTATTGTGTGTGCTTAATATGAGGGGTACTCACATGCCATGGTGCACACGAGGAAGTCATCCGAGGACAACTTTATGCAGTCAGTCCTTTCCTTCCATCTCTCTGGAGTCCCAGGTCAAACATGGGACTTTCTGGTTATTTGCTCTTGTTTTCTGAGAAAGGTTTCTCTGTGTAGCCCTGGTTGTCCCAGAACTCACCCTGTAGACAAAGCTGAACTCAGAGATCCACCAGCTACTGCCTCCCGAGTGCTGGGATTATTCATGTGTGCCACCACCACCAGATTCATTTGGGGTTTTTTGTTTCACATAGCCTAGGCTGGCTTTTAAAACACTCTGTAGCCTCCACCTCTAGAATGTCAGGGTTACACACATGTGCCACCATGCTCATATGTGAAATACCTTGTTAGAATTGCTTACTGGTTTATTCAGAGCCATGGTGCCCTGACCACCAACTCAGATGCTGTAGCAAAGTTCAGCTCACGGTTCATGGGGTTGTTGCAGACATGCCCCTTCCTCTAACTGTCCAGATACTGCCCAAACTCTATCCCAGGTGAGAGTCCCCTCCAGAGTTACTGCTGTGTGTTTCAGAGCAAATACACTTGTGCTTGTCTGTGTTTACAGCCCAGTGTATCCCGTGCCCAGCAATGGACAAGGCACAGATGTATGTAGTAGACACCAGCTATATAGGGAAGACAGAAAGGAAAACTGAACTAAAAAACAAAAATCAGCTGTCATGGCCCTTACCTTTAATCCTAGTACCTGGGAGGCAGAGGCAGGGGGATCTTTGAGTTCAAGGTCAGCCTTGTCTACAGGGTGAGTTTCAGGACAGACCGGACTACAAAGAGAAACCATATCTTTTTTTTTTGTTTTTGTTTTTGTTTTGTTTTTACGAGACAGGGTTTCTCTGTATTGTTTCGGAAGCTATCGGTCCAGCCTGGCCTCAAACTCACAGAGATCCGCCTGCCTCTGTCTCCCGAGTGCTGGGATTAAAGGCGTGCGCCACCACCGCCCGGCGAAACCATGTCTTGAAAGAACAACAAAAAAAAGCAAACACAAAGACTGACATGAGCACTTGTCTATTTGTAGCCCAGGGGTTAATCCGGTGGGTTTAGAGTTAGACAGGCCACATTTGGAACCTAGGTTCCCTCACAGGCGACTACAGACAGGTTCACCTAAGACCTGGATCTGTTTCTTCATATGTAAAGTGGAGGTCATGCCACCTCTGTCCCTGGATAGCTTTGAGGTATAGAATTTAGCATGCTGGGGCAGTGGCACACACCTTTAATCCCAGCACTCTGGGAGGCAGAGGCAGGCGGATCTCTGTGAGGCTAGCCTGATCTACAGAGAGAGTTCCAGGACAGGCTTCAAAGCTACACAGAGAAACCTTGTTTAAAAAAAATAAAAATAAAAAAGCTATCATGGTATCTGATGCAGGGCAGGCACAAGTCAGCAGTGATCCTGAGAGAACCAGTTATAGCATCCTCTTCTCAAGGGTACTAATGGATAGTTCAGCACTCTGACTTTCAAATTCGTCTAACTCTGAGGTTCCAAAGTTGGGAAAGGGATTTCTATTTCAGCTTCTCTGGGCTTTTTTTGACTTTGTGTTTTGCACAGTGGGGTTATACATCTCCAGTGACTACAAGCTCTTGCTATAAAGAAAGAGGAGAGAGAGAATATGCCTACAGTTTGAACCCAGGGCCTCAAGTTAGACAAGTGCTCTACCACTGATCCGTGTCCCTAGCTCTCGAAAGTGGCTCACACCTGTGACCCTAGGATTCAGAAGGCTGATGGAGAAAGATCATGAGTTCCAGGCCAGTGTGGACTAGAGGAAGTTCACATCGGCCTGGGCTAGAGTGAAAACCTACCTCAGAGAGCACATGGTTGTGAACAGATGGCCCTCCCTGGATATGGAGCAGGCGTTGTGACAGAGACGGACAGAGGAACGGTGAGAAAGCAGAGTGCATACAGCACTTGCTGTATAACTCATGACCTCAGTTCAAGCCCCAGAACCCATGTAAAGATGGAAGGAGAGACCAGTCTATGAAAGTATCCTCTGACCTATACACACACACCTACCCCATATCATAATAATAAAAAGGGACACACGTATGAATAATGAATGCCTTCAGAGATTAGGCTACCACTAAGCCCTTGCTGTTCTATGATCAGAATAATTTCTGGAGGCTGCAGGGGGAGGGCCAAGATACCTCCCTCTGCAGGAGAAAAAAGGGACTCCGTGTTTCCAGTGTTTATTTGGTCCCGGCCACTTCCCTCATCAGACTCATGACTTAGGGTTTGAGGCCTCCAGAAGGTCAAGGGCAGGCAGGAGATGGGACAGCGAGGACAGAGTGTGTTCTTTGGGAATAGAGTCTCTGACTGAGGAGTCCAGAGGCTCTTGGCCTACCACCAGGAAGCTGTGCATGCCCACAGCCTGAGCCCCCTGGTAATCGCAGAGGTAACTGTCCCCAACATGAGCTGCTACTGCAGGTTCTACACAAGCAAGTTGCAAGGCCTTATGAAAAATTCGAGGGTCTGGCTTAGGACAGCCAGCAGCTTCAGAAGTCAAAACAAAATCAAAATGTTCCCGCAGGCCAAGGCCTACTAGGATATCTTCTAGTCGTCTGTCAAAATTGGAGATCACGGCCAGCCTCAGACCCCGCTTCTGGCACCCCCTCAGGGTAGTCTCCACCCCCTCCAACACCTGCCAGGTGGAGGGGGTACTGAAGTCTGTGTACAGCTGATCAGCAATGGGAATGATGGCCCGGGTGTCTGGGACCCCTGCCAGGTGGAAGGTGCTTAGGATCAAGTCCACCCACCACTGACGGGAGGTGAGGCCACGGCTCTGGCCATAATTGGGAAAGTTGTGGCTGTGAACCCTGTATGCCTGCCCAAAGGCTTGTTCCAGGGCTGTGGCTTCCACCACCAGCCCGTGGGCCCGGGCCTTGCTGGCATATTCCTCCCCAACAGGACGGCGGAGCTTGATCAGGGTATCCTTCACATCCCACGTCAACAGACGCATCTGCAGCCGGTGTGCCATGGAGATCAAGTTCACAGGACCAAAGGAGGTACTGAGCTGGCTCAGGTCACCCTTTCCAGGCTGTGGAGGTCGGAGCTGTAGGCTGACACAAGGCACTTTGGAATGTCTTCCAGCATAAGACCCTGGAACGAACATCAAGCAGGTGAGATGCACTCTGAGGCCCTGGTGTCAGACACTGGGTCCACATTCTGATGGCCCAAGCTCATAGCCTGAAAGAGAGGCTTGAGGGTACTAACCTCATAGGATCATGGGACTAGACTAGAGTTGTGACTCAGTTGGTGGAGTGCTTGCCTAGCATATGGAAAGCCATAAGTTAGATATTGCAGCACACACCTATAATCCCAGTGACCTTGAGGAGGAGGCAGGAGAAATTCAAAGTCACCCTTGGAAACATAGCAAGTGTGAGACCAGCCTGGGCTGAACCTGTCTCAATAAATAAAGCCCAACCAAGATTTTTGGACTAAATAATTTATGCATTTGTTTCAAACCAAATTTCTGGGCATCTTACAAGCTGGATGCTGGAGAAGAAGACAGGTTTCCAGCCCCTGTGGCATTTCTAGGTATTAAATAAGAAGGGCTTTTTTGTACACAACTACAAAACAAGCATAATGAAGTCAACATGTGTCATGACGCTGTAAGTCCAGAACCCAAGTTAGGTTTGAACTCAGTGAATGTCCTTATCAGGTGAAATTCTGGGGGAGACCTGAGGAAAAAAACATGCTGGGCAAAGTCCAGTGCTCTGGGTGGAGCTGAGCTCAGATACACAGCTTGTGGGTCAAAGTCAGGAAACAGTTTTGATTGCTGTTATCTGTATGTTGTATTTTGCCTTCGTGTGAGTGCGCCTTAGTCATGCCTGGTACCCATGGAGCCAGAGGTATCAGCTTCCCTGCAACAGGAATTACAGTTGAGCTGCCACGTGGTTGCTGGGAACAGAACCCAGACATTCTGGAAGATAGCAGCGTTAACCTCTGAGCCATCTCTCAACCCATGACCATGTTAAAATTACTAATAACTGATGTGACCTTTCTTTGAGAAACCCATCTCCACACTTGAGTATGCCCGACTTTCTCCTAACCCTGCTTAAATTAAAATATCATTAATAAAGTCTCCAACTTAACTTCATAAAAGAAAAAAAATACAAAAAAAATCTACTAGTAATGTCAAAAGAGAGGAAAGTCCCTGACCAACATGTAGTGTTGATGTAGTGGTAACTCAGTAGAGTTGTTCAATTTCCATAAGTTTATATGATTATGTATTGCTTCTTAAATCCAGCTATAATGCATGGTTTTTGGATAGGATACAGGGGTTATTTAAGTTTTCTTGTATCTGTTAAGACTCCCTTTGTGACTGAGTATATAGTCAGTTTTGTAGAAGGTTCCATGAGGTGATGAGAAGGTATATTGTTTTGTGTTTGGGTGAAATGTTCTTTAGATATCTGATCAAGTTCATTTGACGCATAACATCTGTTAGTTCCATTATTTCTTTCTTTAGTTTCTGTCTGTATAACTTGTCCATTGGTGAGAGTGAGGTGCTGAAGTCTCCTACAATTAATGTTTGGGATTTGATGTGTGATTTAAGCTTCAGTAATGTTTCTTTTACAAGTTTGGGTGCCCTATCATTTGGGACATAGATGTCCAGAATTGAGACTTCATCTTGGTGGATTTTTTCCTTTGAGTGTGAAGTATCCTTTCCTTTGACTATGAGTTGGTGAGGGGATAATGGAAGCCAGTGAGGGGCACAGTGTGGATTAGAATCCAAAGACTGGACTACGCTGAGCCCGTACATGGTGGGACAGAAGACGGCCTGTTCCTACCTGGCTCTGAGCCGCAGCTTTTCCATCCTTCCGGACATTGGCCACAGGTGCCAGGGAGGCCAGCCCAGGCGGGTGACTGACTCAATGCCCAGAGGCCAGTTGTCTGCCTGGGGTCAGAGACGACGCAGGTTCCTTCCCCAGACAGACCCTGCCGGGGGCCGATCCATCCAGAATGCAGCCGACAGGTGCAGACAGGGGCGATGGGGGGTGTGGAAGTGAAGTGGGGGCCCCAGAGAACTGTGACGAGGAGGAGGGCTCTAGTCAGCTTGAAATAGGGAGGCAGTTTTACAGGGGCTCCTACTGCTCACCTGGGTAGGCCGAAGCCGGGTCAGGAACCCGACTGCATCCGAAAGACCTCGGACAGGTCTAGCCCACCTACGCCCAGGACAACAGGCACAGCCGGGTTTGGGGGCTGCGGCTGCAGGCCCGGCCGCCCTGAGAGCAGTGTGACCGGCTGGGAGTCTCTGAAGCCCCTGTCCCGGGCTCCCGCTCTGCTGCACCGCGCCCCCACCCGGGACCCCGTACCCACCTGACTCGGGGGAAGCGACCAGAGAAGCAGCGGCTGCTCCACGGGCCCGCAAAGGTCCTGGGACTTCACATTCCTGCTCGCCGCCTTGCTCTGACATCACCTAGCTCCTCCTCCTTCCTATTTACTATTCACCCCTTTGTCCCTTTCCTCACCCCGTAGTCCCCTGCTCCCTGTCCCGAGGCCCTCCCCTGGGCGTCTCAAGGTCACTATCTGGGCTCCTCCCACCAGACTCCTCCCCACCTCCCCTGTCACTATGGCAACTCCAGGGACTCTGTTTCTCTTTTCTACTCGGTGCCCCCCACCCCCCTCCATGCTTCCCACATCCCTGGGATGGGAATGGGGACACCTGGGGAAGTACCAGGCAGCTTTGAGGATGCAGGATGTGGGGTTCAGCAGCCTGTAGGGAAAAGGGGTCCAGCCAAAGATACACACCTGAGCAGAGCCAAAGAAACACACTTTGGCCCTGCAACCAGAACCAAAGAAAAGCACCTTGACCCTGAAACCAGTGCCAAAGAAACACACTTTGTCCCTGAAATCAGAGCCAATGAAAGAAATACACCCTGGTCCTAAAACTAGAGCCAAAAGGACCAGTGAAAGAAACACACTTGGGCCCTGAAGCCAGAGCCAAATCTGACCCTTAACCTGAGCAGAAAACTAACCAGTCCCTGAGTACAAGCTCTAGCCAATCTGAGCTCAGGGATTGAAACCTGACCAATCCCCACCCTGGAAAACTGCGCCCCTCAGAAACCCCATATAAACCCAGCCCTCCCGCTGTCTTCTCCCACCCTGGCTGAGGGCGGCCACTCTCCCGGAGTCTTCCCTCCCAGTAAATCTCTTGAACGAGGTTTGGGTGGAGGAGGGAAGTAGCAACTTTTCGCTGGGGAAACCTTCCCCTACTGAAGAGGAGTTGTTACACTACGGCCTGCTGGGGAAGCCCTCCCCTGCCGATACACTGGGGAAGCCTGTCCCTGGAGCAGGACTGCAAGCTGCTACACGTATTGTGACCTGTGGTGTTCTTTGGCTCCCGAGCGCCACAGTACCTTTGTGCCTAAGCCACTTTAAGGCTTACACAGTCTGTCCCTACTAGTGCAGAGAGGACTTCAGCAAGGCACTGTCCCTCTCTTCTGAGAGACACCAATCGGATCTAGAAGGGAATTGCTGGTATACCCACAGTTGCTGAGGCAGGGAAGGGCCTCTGCAGTAACCTAGACGCTTGTTTTAAGATAGGTTCCACCATGCAGGTCACGCTGGCCGTGACCATCTTCCTGCCACAGCCTCCCAAGTGCGGGGTTTCTAAGCACACCACTACCGTGTTGGTCTACCCTAGATGCTTTTTTAAAAATCGTCTTAAGGGGAAGGAAGAGTTGTGTTTTCATAACTGAAATAACACGCTCACCTTAAAAATACTGTGCAAAGCAAGCAAGCAGCGCTGTTCATGATTTGCCTCGTGCTAAGCTCGCATCCTCTGCCTGGCCCGCTCATTCTTCACTGAGGATACAGCAGGAGAAAGGCAGTTTCCTGCCTACATGGACATGGAAGGGACAGGCAAAAACCAAGTGAATATGTGAAATGGGCCCTAAGTGCAGCCACGGGTTTGGCTGGGGAGCAGCGTGGGGGCAGGAGAACTTCCCACTGCTTCTTACTTCCGCTCCCCACCAACACCCTATGGAAACGTTTTATCTCATTTTATCTCCTAGTGGCTCTGTGGACTTTGGATGGACTCAGTATGCTGTCACTGGGCCTCAGAAGTGCAGTCACAGATCAGAGGGCTCACCATCCCATCAGAAGTGCAGTGGATTTCAAGATAATTGATGCTGCCTGCTGTTCCGAATGTCTCTCTCTCTATGGAGATGGCATCAGGATGGATGATTTGTGTCAAGACAGCCCACATAGAAAACCTCTGAGGATTTATGAAGATTCTTTTAAAACGAGTAAACAGACTGCTGGGTGCTTAAGAATTTTGGGGGGTCGTATGCCACATAGCACAGGGCTTCCACACTGCATATCTCCGGAGGCTGTTTGCTAGGGTGTATCTGCTCACCTGGGGTCATGACCTTGACTCAACTGTTGGGCCTCTGGAGTCTGTTAGGTTTGCTAGGTTAGCAGAAGCAAATGTAATAAATAACAAAAATAGATGACAATAACAAGCCCGGATGCCACAGGAAAGGTGGTGGTGGTCTCTGATAGTTTGGATCTAGCTTCTTTTCGATTGGCCAGTTAGGAAGGCAAAGTGTCAGGCCAGCCTTGGCTCTGGAGCAAGACCTCCAACAGACAAATAGCACATTGGTATGATTTAATGGATGTGTTTTCATCCTATAACTAGATTGCAAAAATCCCCTGGCAGTTTCCTCTCTTACTCTAGCCTATGCCCCGTGGCTTGTTACTATGTGGGTGCTAGCTTGGGATATTTTCTCTTTGGGAAAACAAGTTTCTATTATGAAACATTTTTTTTCTCCTTTAGTCTCCTGTTGAAGACACTAAGGAAACCCAGTCAGGCACACATCTCATTACTTTTAATTTTCACTTACTTTTTTTTTCAGTTAAAACAGAAAAAAAATGTACATGCTGGGTGTGGTAGCATATGCCTTTAATCCTAGTACCTAAGAGGTAGAGGGCAGGCTGATATCTGAGTTTGAGGCCAGCTTGGTCTATACAACAAATTTCAGGACAGACAAAGCAACACGGTGAAGGTCCCAGCCTCTCACCCAGCCACCTGCTTTGGCAGCCATGACAGGCTGCAGTAAAGACCCATCTAGATGTAGGCCCCTGACTCAACAGGATGTGCTGAGCTCCACAACATTGCCTGACCCTGCGCTAATTACTGGGAAGAAGCTGCCAGATGCCCTCCATGTGGTAAGGAACCAATCAGAAGTCAGCTGACGGGCTCTGGATGCGCTTTACTGATGACAGTGGAATGCAGTAGGTAGCCCTCCAAGCACAGCAACCTTTCTGCAGCTGCAGCTGACCAATCAACTCAGGAAAGGTTCCCCCAGCCTGAGACCGTTGCTATGCAACTAGCAGACCCCCAGGAATCCCCCCCCCCCCTTGTTCTACCCTTCCCTGCTGCTGCTCGGGTCCCTCCTACTCCACCCGCTGTGTAGGATGGATGGAGGACCCAAGCTAACTCAAAATTAAAAAGACTCTTTGCTTTTACATCAGATCTGGTCTCTTGGTGGTTTGAGGGTCCAGACTTTGGACACAATAGTTAGACCACATTTTTAAAGTATATTTTTGAATTTTCACAGTATGTATACCCTTGCAACTGCTACCTAGAACCCCCTCCAATCTAGATGCCTAGAGCATGTTTGCTTTCAGTTGCTTATTCCCCAAATGGTAGCAAAAATCTCCATCTTGCCCCCTTTTGAAATAGGATCTCATATGGTAGCCCAGAACTATGTGGTTGCTCTATTTCATTACAGCAATTCTCCTGCCTCAGCCTCTTAAGTGCTGAGATACAAGCCTTAGCCACCATGACCTACTTCTTTATGTGTGTGGTGCTGGAACCAGAACCAGGCAAGTATTCTTTCTACCACTGATCTATATACCCTGACCTTCTCCTGGTTTTTAATTGTTATTTCACTTGTTTGTGAGCTGTGTAAATGGAGTAATACAGCAGGCATGTTCTTATATTCCAAGTTTTATTAACCTTCATAACATTGTGTGGCTGCCTAGTTCATTTTTATAACTGTAACATGCCATAATCTGAACAGGACACATCTCACTGTTGATGGACATTTGGGTTAGTGCCAGTTTTGGATGGACACACATCAGAAAATGTGGTTATGACCGATTTTCTCCTGGGTTGTTTCCAACCTTGGCTTGTGATCCTCCCATTTAAAACCTTCTAAATTCGTCTCAGAGAACATCAGTATACACTTCTTAAATTTTTTAATTTTATGAGCATTAGTGTTTGCCTGCATGCATATCTGTGTAAGGATGTGAGTCCTCTGGAACTGGAGTTACAGTTGTGAGCTGCCATGTGGTTTCTGAGAATTGAATCCCGTCCTTTGGAAGAGCAGTCAGTGTTTTTAATGTCAGAACCAACTCTCCAGTCCTCAGTATACACTTTTGATGTGGCAATCAGGATACCATCAGTAAGTGTGCTTCATTTCCGTAGACAGAGGCAGTTTTCTGAAATGGCTGTACCAGCAACTGGAGTTCTCATGTTCCCCATTCTCAACGGGATCTACCTTACAGTGTTAGAAGACATGGGTTATGACATCTTATGCTCCCCACTCCTCTGGTGCTCATGCATGTGATCTATGAGTTGTTATGTTGTATAGGATGGCCTTGAACTCATGATCCTCCTGCCCCAGCTGTCCAGCGCTGGAACTATAAGAATGTGTAACCACATTCCACTAAGGCTACCATCTTTGATTATGAGATGAAAAATGGAATTAAACAGAACAAGACAGGAGCTGAACTCAATCCCACTGCTTGCACAAACTGACCAACCATCCCCAGGTTGCTCATGGGAATAAATTACATGAAACACACAAACACACACACATAACAAACACACAGCACTAAAGTGGGCACGTGGTGGTCAGAAGACACTTTTTGAAGTTAATTCTCTTCAGGTCAGGCTTGCAAGGCAAACATTCAGACCTGTTGCATCATCTCACCATTTCCAAGAAGTAAATCTTTAAAAACTGTTGTTATATTTACTAATTCAAATGTAGATGGTGAGTTTAGAGAAATTGTTGGGTCAGGTTTGAGGAAGAGACAGGTCAGCTCAGAACATAAAAGGAAAGCCACCCAGGTTTAGGGGTAAAGCATTCCAGGCAAAGAGGGCCATTGGTATAAGAGCCAAAGCCTTGTCAGTTTTTTATGTAATGGTGTGTTGCAGGGTCTCGATGGGTGTTGGGGAAGTCCTTTGTCAATAAAGTACTGTTGAGCCAATAGGAATCTAGATAGGTGGGACTAGGAGTCCAGGAGGATTCTGGGAAGGAGAAACACAAGAGAGTCGACATGTAACCGCCATTCTCTGGTAAGAGAAATACTTAGATGAATAATTATGGGGTAATTACTTAAGTCAGAGCTAGCCAGTAAGAAACCAGCAAGGCCAACAGCTTCATAATGAATATAGCCTCCTGTGTTTATTTGGGACTGATGCGGCTCTAGAACCAGGTTGGCAGGAAGGCTGCCCTCAAAAGAAAAAGCTTCTCTTTACAGATGGGTGTCCCTTGGGGGTGGCGGAAAATAGGCACAACACCAATGACACAAATTAAAACAAGCAGCTCAGTTTATACCAGGAAGGGGTGAGCCTTACATACTTCTCAACCCTGCCCCAGCGTAGGAGATCCCCTAAGCTGGCATCTGCTGAGGTGATGTGGTCGCTATCCATAGATCATCATCTCTCCTCAGACTCAGCTGGTGTTGTCAAGGCCCTCTGGCAGGCCAGGCTGGAGGTCAGGAGACAGCCCCTGCGCTGCACTGCACAGGCCCATTGAGGCTTAGTTATCTCACAATGGGGCAGCTCAACCATGTCACCCATCTCTTAGAGAGCCAAATGGCAGGCATGTGACCCAAGTAGAGCAACCACAGATCTCTTATGACAGGGATGGGACAGAAAGGGTCTTTCTATGGGATTATAAACTTTGGGGGTTGTTTCAACAGTTATGGGGACCATGTTGTTTACTGGGGAGGCTTATCCAGCAATAAAGTCTATGCAAGGCCAAGAGATAAGTATTTGACCCAAGGACACATCTGACCTTATCAAGATCTTGGCATGAAAACCCGTTGAACTGCTTTTTCTACTTAACTGGGTTTTAGCCCCAGCAACCAAGAGCACCCAGAATAAGGCCCACCACAGAGGTCCGTCCTGTGTGGGACAAGGAGCTGGAGAGTGGTCTGCTCCACTCCTGGAGAGTTAAGTAGCTGATTAAAATGCCTGCCCAAAACAACCTACAGCGTAAACTGGCACATTTGAGAATGAAAAACCAGGTCTCATTGAGAAGGCTCCTGGATACCACCCAGCAACTTCTGGGAGGCTGATAATATGCCTCAACAGACTATGAAAATCTGATTATCCAGGGATGGGGTGTATATCCACAGGCCGGCTTCAACCTTTCTGGACAATTCTGTCCCTTTCTGCTTAAAAAAAACAAAAAAACAAAACAAAACAAAACTCACTCTGTAGCTCAGGTTCACCTCGAAGTCCTGGCAATCCTGCTCTAATTGCCCAGGAACAACCCATGGCTGTCTGTGACTGGTTTGCAAAGATGTGGATAGCTGCCACCAGGAGGACACTTTAGGTGACAAGACCAGACTCTAGGGAACACCACTCAGACCAACTCCTGAAGGAAAAGGGGCTTCTGGGCCTTTCCACCACGCCAAAGTTGACCACACAGAAGGGTCAGCCATGCTTTCACTGCTGCTTACAGGGGGTGCGTGAAATGGTTAAAGGCAGAGGCTTTAGAATTGGGTCAGTGCCACATCTGGTTTTCTTTGTAGTTGTGACCTAACCCAGTTCTGCCACAAATGTAAGTAGCCTTGGTGGAGTGCTACCAAATATCTAGACAGACCTTCCTCATTGCCGAGGATCCCAAGCTAAACTTAACGTGAACCTGCTTTCTCCACTAAATGGTCCACCTGCTACCAGGACAAGCAAGTTCATCTCTCTAGTCTAACTTAACCTAATGATATCCTAAATACATCTCCTTTTTCGAATCCCTATGGTCACTATAACCCACAGGATTTGAACATCTTATTTGCACCATGCCATGGTGTTACCAAGAGAAAATAGAATAGTCATTCTCCTCCCGACACCCTTGAAATGCCTTTTGCTCTTGGAATAAAGTTAGGGAAATGTGGCACCAAAGCCCCGTATGATTTAGCCTAAAATTCCACTCTTCAGGCCACCTGTTCTTGTACCTTTCCTGGTGTGCCAGCCACACCAGCCCTGTGTTCTTTTAGCTCCTTTTTGGTTCCAGGAACTTTGCACAGCGGTTCTTTCCCTGGACACTCTTGCCCAACTAAGCATCACATGGATCCTTCAAAGGTCAGGGCCGGGTGAGTTTCACATTTGCCACTGTGGCTGCCGGATGCGCCTGGGCACACGTCTACATCCTTGGGGCTGTTGTCCATGCAGGGCAACGCACCTTCTGGCTCTCTACACTGACTTGGTGATGATGGCTCTGGGATGGGAAGCCATCTGTAACGCCTGAACCATTTTAACCGGAGAAGAGCTCAGAGGCAGTGGAGCAGGTCTAGAGCAAAGACAGTTCATTTCTAGCCTGCTATACCTCTGGCCTAATGATAACGTGTCTCAAATTGGGGATCTGGGCTCTAGATGGTGCCCTAGGCTCAGGCTCCCAGGAAGGGAACGTTTAGGGCTCTAAGGTCTGACTTTGGAGGCTACCTTCCAGGAAGATCATCTCTTAAGGGGAGTTAGTCACAGTCTGACTGTAGGAGCTGCCAATTTGTAACGAATTAATTCTACATTTTAAAAATGGATGATTTCACTTTCAAGTCTGAACTGAACTTGCTTTGGTGCTAGAGTAGGGACTTTCTTTTTGTTTTTGGTTTTTCGAGACAGGGTTTCTCTGTGGCTTTGGAGGCTTTCCTGGAACTCACTTTGTAGACCAGGCTGGCCTCGAACTCACAGAGATCCACCTGCCTCTGCCTCCCAAGTGCTGGATTAAAGGCATGCGCCACCAACGCCCGGCGAGTAGGGACTTTCATTAGTGGCAGTTATGTGTGTCAAATGTCAGATGAACTAAAACCAGCTGGGCAGCTTCAGAAATCCATAAAGACACCCTTACTCCCTTTCCCTTATTGCCCTCTAGCAAAATCTCTGAAGGGCTAGAGGCACAGCTTAGTGGCAGAGTGCTTGCTTAGATGGGTGGACAGGATTCAGTCCTCAGTGGAGCAAACCAAACAACCCAACCCAACCCAAGCCAACCATGCCAACATCTTTAAGATGGCTGCCATCAGATGCCAAATAAATCTAAGGTCCCTGCCAGAGGTGTACACCTTCCTTCCCTCCAGTTCTGACACTCCTCTACTAACGGGGTCTCTGAACATGTCTCAACTCTGTCTTGGACCTTTCCTTCCAAGCATGTATCACTTTAGCTGTTCTGCTACAACTTATCTGACTCCCCTTTCTCTGTATTTATTCTAGAGACAAGCTACTGCCTGTCCTCATGTGTCCAAACTGCTCCGGGCAGAGATTCTCAGGAATTGTCTTGTGTATAAAGACTTTTTGATGCTGGCTGGCATCTCCAGCAGTCAGGAATTCCTGCTGCTTCTGGGTTTCGATCTTCATTAATAAGTCTTCTTTGGGGTTCAAGTGCCAGCTGCTCTCCTCCTCTCCCAAAGCCCCAAGCCTGTGCCTAGTGCTCTTGGCTTCTGCCAAGCTGAAGCCACACCTCAGAAGAACAGGAAGGTGGGTCTCTGGAGGGCCTGAAGACCAGCTGTGGGTGGGAGTTTAGCACGCTGGCAGAGACCACCCATGGTGCTGGACCCTGCCAGCACCATGGGCAGAAAGAGGGCACAGGGCACAGTTCTAACAGCAGCATTTACTTTGGTTTTCACTTCTCATGGCCCAAAGGAGCTTTGTTAAGATCAAGTCCTACACACTCTCCCATCACTCTTCCTTCAGCCACTTCAACAGCTGGGGTGTAAAGTAGGTGATGATAACATCGGCACCTGTGTGGAAAACAAAAATGAGAGGGCTATGACATCAACTCCCTACACACTTGGGAAATGAGAGCCAGGCAGGAAAAGACCGCCACGCAGAGGCAGAGGCACAGCCTGGTGTCACGGCCTCAGACTGAGCCTGGCTGCAGCCAGCTCCACACAAGCCATTCTCATTTGCTGATGAGTGGTGTGTGCAGAGGAGGCAGGCACAAGCCTGAATGGCCTGCTGGTCTGGGGAGACCAGGGCCGAGTGCCGCACGGAGACCAGACTACAGACACTCCTCCTCCTCCTGCCATGTCTCTCTGAGATCCAGCCAGGGTTGACTTAATTTAGACCCCACTGTCTCCCCATGGGTTTCTATGGACCTTTCTGGTGAGTGAGGATATCAGGCAGCATGCTGTTAACCTCCTGGCCCCACCTGAACCCACCCTGATGACCAGGACGGTGTGTGATATTAACAAAACCTGCTCTCATTTATAGGGTAATAAGCATACACTGCGTACTATCTCGGGCACTCCTGGGGACAAATATGTGCCAGGTATCTTATTCCGGTCTATGAACAAGGACCCAAAGATTGGCAAAAGTGGCTTGCCCCAGTTTTCCCAAGCAAAGAGTTGCACAGGGCTCCTGTTTCCATCAAGCTGCACGTTTGTCTTTTCTGCTTGTGCCTAGTGGTCAGAACTTCTGGGCAAAGAATCCACGCTTCTCAGACCTTTCCTTTCCTACTTGGGCAGAATGCCCATCAGGCCCTGTTGCAGAGGTCACGAACCCCACCCCCCGCTTACCAGCTCTGCGGAAGGCCGTCATGGTCTCCAGTACAGCAGTCCTGAGATCAAAGGCCCCAGCCTTGGCTCCATGCCACAGCATGGCAAACTCTCCTGATACCTGGTATACTGCGAGGGGGAGTTCGGGGTGCTGCAGAGAATGGCAAACAGGTTACGGTGACTGTCCCTTCTTCCCTTCCCTGCTGCTGAGAGCCCAGCTCATTCAGAAGCTGGTCAGCCAGAGCAGTCTAAAGGCACGGTGAGCCTCGGCAGATGAAACAAGGCAGTAGCTAAGCAGGGCGGCAGAGGGCTGTTGCTGAGGGGCAGACTGATTCCAGAGCCCCCCATTTAGGGCCCACTGTGGGGACAACCTTTTCTTCCCTGTGTTCTGTGCTCACCTTGTCCTTCACCTCCCGAACCACATCCAGGTAGGGCAGCCCCGGCTTCACCATGAGCATGTCAGCTCCTTCCCGAATGTCCCGGGTCTAGGGTTAGGGTGAAACGTGGGCAGTGTCTGAGACACGGGTGGGGTGGGCGGAGCAGGGGGGTTTGGGGCTTAAGCTCTGATCACTCACCACTGCGCGGAGGGCCAGGCCACGGGCTCCAGGAGGCAGCTGGTAACAGCGGCGGTCTCCAAAAGCTGGGCTTGACTGAGCTGCATCCCTGCAAAAGAGCATCACAATGCTGACGCCCAGCTTCAGGAGACTGGGCCAGGGATTTAACAGAGTGCCCCTGATGCCACTCACCGGAAAGGGCCATAGAAACAGGAGGCAAATTTGGCACTATAGCTCATCACAGAGACCTACAAAGAAGACAATGGGATTTAGGTTGAGTCAGCCGTTCCCAGATCCCAAGGGCGCAGTGACAAGGAAAGGTCGTCAAGCAGGAGGTAAAGGACAAACACCAGGCCTTAATTTCTCTGAGGCCTCATCCAGCATCACTCTCGATTTTGTGGTTCACTGTGTCTGCGTGGGTTCACGTGTGTTCACGTGTGTGCTCAGAACAACTTCAGTGCCGTTCCTTATGTGCCATTCCTTAGGCTTTACCAAGGGTAGCTAGCTGGCCAGCAGGCTCCATTTACCGCCACTGGGGTTACAAGCACACACCACCAGTTTTTACGTGGGGTGGGAGATCCAAACTCAGGTCCTCACACTCACAGGCACGTGGTTTACTGACTGAGCCATACACCCAGGGCTGGCCACGCCCTCTCCTTCCATCCATCCTCACGCCCCTCCCTCTCCTTCCATCCATCCTCACGCCCCTCCCTGCCCTCAGTTCATACCCTGTTGCCAAGTCCGTGTTTTAGCAGGGCAGTCTTGATGGCCTCAACACGTCCATCCATCATGTCTGATGGAGCTACAACCTGACACCCTGAGGGAGAGGGCGACCTTCAGAATTCTCGATCTCTCTTGCCCATATGCCGCCTCCATGGCCCCGCTATTAGGAGGCTCACTCACCTGCCTTGGCATAGGCCAGTGCCACCTCTGCCAACCGCTGTCGGCTTTCCTCAGCTAGAAATGCTCCGTTCTCACTCAGGAGGCCTGGGGGACAAGATGGATGGATACGGGACTGCACCTTGGGTCCATGCTTGTGCCCACCCAGGGGGAACGCTGGGCTTGGATAACAGGGTATGTAGGAGCTCACCGCAGTGACCATGGGAGGTGTAGGGGCACAAGCAGACGTCACAGGCCACCAGGAGGTCAGGGAAGGTCTTTCTCAATAGACGGATAGCCTCAATAGCTGGGGAGTCCTCAGAGTCAGCTGCAGAACCCTGCTCATCCTAGAGGCGGGAAGTACAGGAGGCATGTCTATCACAGATGTGTTTTAGAAGCATGGTGGCTGCCACTGAAGAAGTGCAGCAGAAGCCTGGAGAGGGGGCTCGAATCACCCAGTTAGGGTGTCACAGTCCTATTTATGGGTTTCCTGACCTGGGGCCAAAGACAAAGAATACAGAAAACCGATTATGACCTCCAGAGCCTGGACAGAGCAGAGCAAGCACACGGTGAGCGTGGTACTTCAATCCTTCCTCGCTCTCTAGTCTTTTAATTTTCCTTCCTTCTTCTATGTGTATATGTGTGTGTATGCGTGTGTGCACGTGCATGTGGAGACCGTAGGTAGAAACTGGTGTCTTCCTCAATTACGCTCCACCTTATTTTAACTTTTTTGTTTTGGAAACAGAGTCTCACTGTGTAGCTCTGGCTGGCCTAGAACTAGCTATGTAGACCATGTTGGCTTTGAACTCAAGAGAGAGGCTGTCTGTGTCGCTGTTCTCATGCTGAGATTAAAGGTGTGCATCACCATGCCACAGGTCTTCGCTGAGCCTGGAGCTCCCCAATTCAGGCAGACTGGCTGGCTAGCAAACGCCAGGGTCCTCGTGTTTCTGCCTCCTCAGCACTGGGGTTATTCATGCACTGCTGCTCAGCTTTTCAACACGGCCTTCAGACTGCACTTAGGTCCTCTAGCTGGAGCAGCAAAGCTTTTTACCAGTTGAGCGAGCTACCTGCCCAGCCAACCCTTATCTTCCCTTCTCAACTCTTCCAGTTTTCACCTTGGGAACTCTGCTGGGGACGCCGAAAATCAGGACACAGCGCAGGCCCGCTTCCACCAGGGGTCTCAGCATGTCCTCCAGCTGGTTCACACCATACCTGGGGGAGGTCAAGAAGCCGGGAGCACTGACCGCACAAGTCCCCGCCCAGGCCTCCGCCCCTCTGAACAGTGCTTCTGTTTAAACACCAAGCGGCAGGCTGGGGCCGTAGCTCTGTGACAGCACACACGCCGGCATGGGACATGCCCTCAGTGAAGAGCCAAGCTACATAGGCACCAGGAGGGAGCAAGCCCCACAGTCCGGGACCAAGTAGTCACACACCCACCACGGAGGAGGCAAACTGGGCCACCAGCACAGCTATGGAGTTAGCTGTAGAAGACGCCTCCATGGCTTTTATTCAAGTCCCACCTTGAGCTCAGTTCCTGCCTGCAGCAGCCTCTGCCACAATGTCCCCCATAGTGAGACGCTTGTCACTTTATGAGGCTGCTTCCCATAGTAGCTAACGGTTTAGTCTCCAAGAAATCCTTCTTTCCATGGTGTCTTCCAGCTCTGCTACCTGCTGGGTGTGCTTCTATTTCTTCACACTGGCACCTATGAAATCTCTCCTCCCACACCCCGCCTGCTACCCATCACGACTCCTACCTGGCCACTCCCGGGAGGCTGGCAATGGGCTGGACGTCATCAGGAACATCCCTGCAAGAGTGGAGGAGGGCTATGGACTGGTGGCTGTGGGAAGGGCAGTGGTGAGTGTGGCTGGGGAGGATGGATGGGAAGCTGGGAAAGGAGCAGAGATGGAGGGAGGAGGTGGGATCCTATGTCTTGCTCCCCTGCCCGGCCAAGCTCAGGGCCTGAAATAACAGGAACAACAATAGCCTGACAGTAAGAGCATCTGTTCTGAAAGAACAGTCACAGGAAGGACTTGAACTCTGAGGTCAGAGTGTCCTTGTGTCTAAGCCTTGGTATGTTCTAAGTGGCCAAGATGCAGCCCCTTCTTCAGCCTCAGGCTCTTCACCCAGATCCTGTCGAGATTATTTTCTTCAGCCACTGAAGATTTGTTGAATAGTTCTTATGTGCTAGGTAGTGTTCTAGGCACTGATAAGAACAGTGGGCCAAACGCAATAATCGCTGCCCTCCAGAGTTGAGGCGCATGAGGATGTCTGTTCCTCGTGTAGAGGCCAGGACTGAATGAGGCGATAGGCGCAGGTGCCTAGCGTACCTGCTACACAGTAAACATCCACTAACACCTTCCGTAGTTGCTCGACTGTTTTGAACAATTGCTTGACCCAGCTACTTCCTCCTCTTTTTAACCACCAAAGCTCAGAATGGCAAGAGTAATGTTGACTTTACAATGGAGTGACTGAGTTCTTTTCGGGGTTTGTATGGCTCCAAAGACTACTGTCCTTAACCTCATAGGTCATTTGCAAAACCTTTGTTTCAGCTGACAGCCCACTTTAAGCCTCCCTCCTCCCAACGTTACTGCCTGCTCCAGTCACTTATGTCCTCCAACCCCAGGCAGGAACACTTCTGGGGACTCACGTGACAAAGATGGGATAGATGAGGTTGGAGGCACTGATGGTGGAGGCAGAGGTCTGCCAGGCCCGAAGCAGCGGGTGGAAGTAGCCGCTGTGCAGAATGGACTGGTGATGCATGGTGTGGGGTGCACAGCACAGGGCGGTTTGCTGTGGACTCAGCTCTGTGGGGCCAACAGGAAGCATAAGACATGGCCGTGCCCACGGTACCATCCGGAAGACAGTTCTCTCAGGTTCCTGCTTCCCCTATCTACAGCCTCTGCAACTCACAGTTTGGCTTTACCAACTGCTGCCCCTCCTGGACAACCTAAGGCAGGACACCTGTAGAAGCTTCAGAGCAATTTCAATCTAATGAGAGCATCTGAGCTAGACTGCTAGTTAAAAGCAAACAGTTCTCAGGGGTTGGAGAGATGCCTCAGTAGTTAAGAGCACTGGTTGCTCTTCTAGACCAGAGGGCCCAGGGTTCAATTCCCAGCACCCACATGGCAGCTCACAACTGTCTTTTTATTCCAGTTCCTGGGGATCTGACACCTTCACATAAGACATGAATACAGACAAAACACAAATGCACATAAAAATGTTAAATTAAAATTAGTTTACTGGTAACTTTAAACCATATCTTAACAAAGAATCAGAAAATTAGGAATAAAAAGAGAAACAGAAACAAGTCTTCCTTGTGTGTATTTTAAGAAGCACTGGTCATTGCAGCATTTAAACTTCATTTATTCCATGAAAAATGCCCATGATTATGGCAGATTGAGAGGTTACTTTTTTTGTGCATGTGGTGCCATGGATCAAACCCAGGAGCTTTGCACATATCAGGCAAGGATTCAACTACAGAGGTACAGGCCTAGCCTCAGTGTTTTGTTTGGATTTTGAGACAGGGTTTCACTATGTAATTCAGGCTGGCTTCAAACTTGTTTGGCAAATATTTTAGATAAGCAGAAAAAAATGCCCTGGAATCCTGCTGCTAGTGCAAAGCAATGCTAATACCTTGCTTGGTATGTGGGCTGTGGCACTAGGCACAATGTATACCAAGATCAATTACTGCCAGCTCGACAGAGGAACACACACATGTACTTTCCCTGTACAGCGGCCTCTCAGGAGCTCTTGCAACCAGGGAGCCCTCTGCGCCAGCCAACCGTGGATGCCTGACCCTCCTGCATCTATCTCCAAGGGTTAGGGATTATGCAATACTCAGACAGGAACCCTAGGCTTTTGTGCATGCCAGGCAAGCACTGTAACAGCCCACTGCTTCTTCTGTGATGTACACTGTTCTCTTTCCCTAGGCCTAACTCTGCACAGCCCGCCCGCCTCAAGCAAGCATGCCATCAGCTTCTCCTTCTCAGGCCATGGCTTCCTTCTTGCCCACCTCACAATGCCTTACACAACAGTTCTTTGTGGCACTGGCTTATCTTGTGCCAGCTTCTACAGGGCAGGGGCCGTGATGAAGTCAGTTCTGCCTCCCACACCATGCTCGCCCCACACAGACTCTAGCACAGAGCAAATATGTCATCACACTGAGCACAAGACAAAACTACACGCCAAAACAGTGATGTTTGACTGAAGGAAGCCTGGGTGCCACATTGTTTCAGGAGTACCTACTGTGTGCCAGCCCTCAGTGCTCCCTCACAGGTGCCTTCTGGAAGTCACAGGCTAGTCCTTGGAGGCAGGGCTGATGAGAGCACCACAGAGCCAGACAGCCCATGTCTACACAATCCATGGACCCAGAGAGGAGGGCAAAAGAGCTTGTAGAAGACAGGGCTTGGGCTCTCTTCTGCAGGGTGTGAGGGGCTGGCAGGGAAAGAGTGTCCCCTCAAGGTGGAGAGAGAGGATGGCTGTGGACGCTCTCAAGGATGTGTCAGAGGCCACGTGAAAGAGGAGGAAGAGAGACTGAGATAAGTTCTGAGCAGCAAGCGGCACTGGCCTGGCCTGAGCCTGGCTTTAAGAGAGCTCTTGTGGCTGAGGAGAGCAGACAGGAAGCAGAGGAGGCAAGGAGCCCCAGAAGGAAGGGCCATCTTGAGGCAGCCAAGAGGCTGTCTCTTAGGGCGGATGCTCTGGCCCAGGGGACAAGAGAGACAGGGACAAGGCAGGAAGAGGGTGGTGGGACGAAAGGTTGGACAGTTAGCTCCATTTTATACATTTCCTTTTGGCTACGAAACAGCCACATTAAAAGCAAGTGGAGGCTGGTAAGCTTCAATCTTGGCTCTGCAAACAAAGGGGATGCTGAGGACCAGAGACGCAGGGACTTACCCAAATTCCTACAGCAAATTAAAAGTGGAAACATGTCTAGAACATCGGGGTCCTTCAGTGTGCCCTGCTGTGCTTCTGTTCCTCAGTCCCCTTCAGCTTCCTCCCAACCAGCTCAGGACCATCTGATCCCATCTTCCTCTTTGGCAGAGCTGAGGTTATCAGGAACCACACAAGGACCAACCCTGCACCACACCCCTGGGTGGGCCAGCCTCATCACAGGACACAGGGGAGGCCAGGCCTCCTGAGAGATAGAATACACTCAGCACGTGTAAGGGTTTATCAGCCCACTTGGTGTAAAATTTGACTCACATCTGTCAGGAGTTAGCCCAGAGATGGAAAATTCTTCACTTAAAACCATATAGCTAGTTATCAATAAAACCAGAATCTGATCTTGTTCCGTCCTCCAGTTTGTGTCCCCTTCCCGATACTGTTTCTGATACACTGAGTCTATCAGGTACAGAGCACTGAAGGTAGTACTTTAGCACATTTAATTACAAAACTCGACATAAACTTTTAGTTAGGAAACAGGCTCAGGGAGGTTAGGGAACTTGCTCAATGCTGTTTTGGACTGGCGTCAGATTTTGAAACCAGGTGCATATTTGAGTTCCCCTGCCCAAGAACTCTCTGTAGCAGGGCCTGGCTTCTGGGATCCACGTCTGCATTCCCTGAGTTACTCACTTCTTTTAAAAGCTTATAGGCCAACTGATAGGCCATCTGCCTAACAGTAAAACCTGGAGGGCCACCTAGGAGCTGTGTCATCCAAATTCTGTGTCAAGGTAGCTGGGAGAGATGGGAGGGGAACAGTGGAGAGAGAGAGAGAGAGAGAGAGAGAGAGAGAGAGAGAGAGAGAGAGAGAGAGAGAGACAGACAGACAGACAGACAGACAGACAGACAGTGTGTGTGTGGGGGAGGGGACACTATAACAGCTCTTGTTTTCTTCTTGTGGACCTTTGGGCTCCACCACTGAGCTACATCCCCAGCCAGAACAGTTCAACTTTGATGTAGATTTTTTTAAACCCCTGAAGATCTTACACCTAGGAATATTTTGCTTACATGCATGTATACCCATCACATGTCTGCAGTCCCCAGAGTTCAGAAGGGTGTAGACAGATTTTTCTTGAGGTCACCAGCTCACAAAAAAATGACTCAGAGACTTATTGTTAATTATAAAAGCTTGGCCTATAGCTTAGGTGTATCTCACTAGCTCTTATAATATTTATCTCTGTGTTGCCACGTGACCAGTGGGTTTCACCTCTCCTCCTTCACGTTTGTCCCCTCTGTGTCTGGCTCTTCCCAGAGCTCTCTGTCCAGAAGTCCCTGTTACACCTCCTGCCTAGCTACTGGCCGTTTAGCTTCTTATTAAACCAATTATAGTGTAATCAAATATCTGGTAACAGAAGGGGTTGTGGGATCCTCTGGAACTAGAATTACTTACAGTTGCTGAGCTACTACGTGGGGGCAAGGAACTGAATCCAGGTGGTTCTGAATCACTGAGACATCTTTTGCCCAGGTTTAGGTTTTCATTTTGATCACCATACAAAACTGAGAGGTGTCAGTGCAAAAAAAAAAAAAAGTTCTATCCACTCTTTCACATTTTGATAGGAAAAATGAAGGGATGAAAGGAACGTCACAGGACTTGAGTTCACAGTGGTGATGTCCTGACTTCCTACACTACACAGCCTATCACAGCAGGCACTCAATGACAAGAGTGGAAAGCTGCCTGGATTTGCTTCTGTTTTATAGAACTAATTCTACATCTGGGTTTTGCCTTGAGAGAAATCCTTCGGCGTCTGGAAGATTCTCAAACAAGGGCAGGCACTTTTCCCAAATTAAGGGAGTTTACAAAGTTCAGCTTATATCCCATGTCTCATACTAACAGGAGTACGAGACCACAAGGGTTCAGCTTACCTTCTCCTCCATTTCAAAACAGCGTCACTCTGCTAGTGAGCTGTACAGTGGTGTGGGAAACACCGTGTCTGGGTCAAACAGTTCCAGAGCTGACTCTGTAACTTTGGGCAAGGCCTCTTAGATCCCTTTTTTCAAAATCTAAAGTGTGCTGATATTATCAGCCCAGTAAACTGTGGGGACCATCAGACAATTGTGAGGTGTGCAGTCTCACAGCAGAGCTAAATGCATGGCTCATGCTGAGCTGGGCTGAGTGGACAGCACTTCGTGACCCCGCACTGTACCTGAGGAAGGATACACATTCCACCCAGTGCTCGAGGCAAGAGAACACACGAGCTCTCCAGTAACACACTGCTACACAAGGAAAAAGACCACTGGAGGGAGTCAAGGGTAGTTTCATGGAGACATTGCAGGACAGCTTTTTTGACAGGCTACAGAGGTCTCACCTTCATTAAGAGGCAGATTCCCCAACCTGGAGTGAGTGACTGCGAAAGAGCTTCAGGGCCTGGGCTCCCAGGCTGGGCCTCATGGAGGACTGCAGAGCCCGTGCCATTCTCGGCACAGAGAGTGTCGAGCTGGTGCCAACTCTGGCAAGCTCTGCACGGGCTGGGGAGGTGACCAACCTGTCAGGAGGGGCCAGCTAGGTAGAAGGTCCAAGGCTGGGAAGTCTGAAGCAATTTTCAAAAAGGCTCAGGAAAAGTAGCTGTGGGTAGTTCTGAAAAGGAATTGCCTGGTGGCCCATTTGCATTTCCTGAATACTCTGGCTCCCACCTGCCATAGCGTTGCTAGAAGGAAGAATCAGACCAAGAACTAGCTAGACCTTGTCTAGTCTGCTGGCTTAATCTCCCCTGCCTGGGTTTAGCCGTTTCAAGCTAGGAGTTGCCTTTCCCACAGTGCTAGAAAATCCTGGTAAAACTCTGAGAAGGGCAGGTAACGAATAGGGACCATGCAGCAGGTCACCTATCCAACAGCCCTCAGTTCTCACCACGACCTTTGGCAGCTCCAGGTGAGAGAGTAGGGGAGGGAAGAGGCTAACCTGGCTACTGCTGGTGGCAGGAGGGTTGTGTGTGTGCGTGACTTGGAGACAAACTCTTGTTTTCAAACGCTTTACCTCTTGTCTTCTCATGTGGTAAATCAGGGCTTGAACTGACCTCAATGGGTTGTTCTAATGACCGAAGGAGCAGAAGCTGTCGACACCCAGGACAAGCGACTCTCATTGTTCGCTCCCAGTTCTCCAGCCTGCCAGACGCCTCGCGTTCCGAGACTACCCTTGCGGCCTCGGAGGAAGGAGACGAGTGGAGCCCGGCTTTGCATCCCCGAGTGCGGACGCAGCAAAGGTTCTGCCCGGGAACCTTTGTGCACTGGGACTGCGTCTCCGCTGGAGCGACAGAGCTTCGGGAGCACAGCACCATCGGGGTTTGCACCTCGCCTCCTCCAGGAGTCGCCCTCCCAAACCACCACTTCCCAGAGGCCCGGGCCGGCTCACCTACCGAGGACACCGCTCCCGCCGCCCCGAACCGCTGCTCTCCACTCAGCGCTCACCCGCTCTAAAGGCGCCAGCCCACGTGGGGCGGGGCGGCTCGCCCGGAAGCGGCTCTCCTGCCCCCGCCCCCGCGGGAGTGCAGCCCTGGACCCCGGGGCGGCGCGCTCCACCTGCCCCACGCTGGAGGGCTAGAGTCTTGGCCAATCTGGAGATTCCGAGGAACCTGAGGGCCCGCCCACCCCTCCCGCCCCTCCGGCTTCCCTTGAGGCGGGCAGTCCTGACCCCAGGGGCTGGGCCTTGGCTTGAGATTCTGAATCCACCCCGGAGTTCACTCGTAGGTCTAGTCTAAGCCTCGAGCAAAAACACTGGCTGTTGCTCATTGGTTTAAAAAAAAAAAAAAAAGAACAATTGGATGTCAAGAACATTAAAACACTACATAATGCCTGACACAGCGGACAAATCCGTTTTGGCGGACTGAGCGCTTTCAAGTTGTTGAGTTCAGCAGCAGACTGACTGCCCATTTCAGACAAATTTATTCCGGTGTAATTAATTATCAAGCCCTTAATCTGTTATGGATTGAGAGATGTGAAAGATGTGGACATTGAAAAAAAAAAGAGAGAGAGAAAACTAACCAAGTGTGATGGGGGCATCAAGTTTTATCTACAATGGGTACGTTAAAATCCGACCAAAGCCAACTTGGTGGTATACACCTTTAATCCCAGCATAGGAGGTAGAGTTCCACGCTACCAAATAGTGAAACGTTGTCTTGACAAACAAAAACAAACCAAACAGCACAATTAATTAAAAGAAAAATTGAGCTGGGTGTCCTGTGGTGAACGAATTCCAGCACTTGGAGGCAGAGGCAGGTGGATCTCTGTGAGTTCAAGGCCGGCCAGCATGGTCTACAAAGCAAGTTCAGGATGGTCAGGGGTGTTAAACAGAGAAACCCGGCTCAGAAAAACAAAATGACACAAACAAAAAACAAATTAACCGAAGTTTGTGGAGGGTCAGAGCATGGGGTCTCGGGAGGCTGACGGGGTAGAAACCTGACAGACTGTTGGGGTGGTGAGGGCCCAGGTGGAGGGAGGCACTGGGAAGCCATGGCTTATTAGGAAGGGGGTGAAGGGATTATTTTGAAGGTAGAAGTGGGTAGTTGTGTAATACTGTAAAAATCCTAAGCACCACCAAATCTTCATTTAAAAATGACTAATTTTATGATTGTGAATGTCATTTTAGTTATTAAAAATTCATTTGAAACTTTGGACTTAAAGTTGGGTGAAGGGTATATGAGAACTGCACTCCTTGTAGTTTTTCTGTAAATTTAAAATTATCCCAACCATTTACAAAGTTTACTAAAATAAAAAGGCCAAAGGTCACTAGATCATAATCTCAGCAATCATAAATTAGCTATAAGACTCTATAAATAATTTCTCTCAAAAGAGCCTCAACTTCCCATAAGTAAAAATGGGGGCTAGGGCACAAAAAGCATCTTTTAAAAGATTTATTTTTATGTCTGAATGTCTTGCCAGCATGCATGGCTATGTACCATGTCTGTACTGACAGGAGGCCAGAAGAGGGCACACGGGATCCGCTTGAACTGTAGTTACAGTTGTTTGTTGCCATGTGGGTCCTCTGGAAGAGTCATTGCTATTAACTGCTGAGACATCTCTTCAGACCCTCAGTAGCTTTAAATGAGCTAGAACAAGAGCTCTTCCACTGCCCAGACCAGGTCAGTCTCCGAGCACTCTGCTTTAAGAGAAACTTACCTTAGCCCGCTTTGAACCTTCAACTCCAGATGCCATTATGGGGTGGTGTAGTTGTCACTGAGAAAAAGCTGAAGGATGAACTTAAGATTCTTCCTGGATGTTGAATTCTTTTAAAATCAAAATCTCCTCTCCTAGAAAGGTTTCTCTTAGACATTTGAACGTGCTCAGGCAAGGATGCTGTCACTGAGCCCTTTCCATGTTTGACTGGCACAGGAGCAGCCTTATGGTGGAGATTAGATGGCAGGGTGAGCCCCTCTTACTCAGGCCTTGAATAGCAGGCTTAACTATGGCTTTTTATCTCAGAAAACAAAGCTATGTTCCAGGAAGATCCATTTGCTAAGAAATGCACATGTGACACTGAGCTCAAAGGAAGTCACGGGAATCCATGGTACTTGAATGCTAGGTCTAGCATGGTGCCAATGGGAATTAAGAAAGGGTACTGAATGACCCTTGGGGTTCTTTGTGAAATCTGATTTATAAACTTAAGAACGATGTCTGCTAGAGAATAAATATAGAGCTGTGGTTAGGAGCTAACAGAGGCAACAGCAGTGCTGCTTGATAGGAGGTAAGAATTAACACCTGAAAACACTTAGAACATCGCTAGACACAGGAAGAGCTTAACAAGTGGGAGCCAGTGAGGCATACAGAGTAACCAAGAGAATTTCGGGAAATGTTGGCTGTGGTTAAGAGCAGTGCCCTTAGCTGTGAATGCTCACTCACCTGCTGGTGATCCAAGGAGACACAGATTGAGTGTGTGTGTGTGTGAGAGAGACAGAGTTTTTTCCAAAAGTACTGTATTAACCAATACTTTAAACAAGAATGTTCTTTATTTGTATAAAGCATTAAAATCTTCTCAACAGTCTCATCACTTTTAATAAACTCTTCATTGTATTCTCTCAATAGCTAACAGTGTCCAACTATATTACATTACTTTTCAACCTCAAGTGCTCAACTAAGACAAAAAAAAAAAAAGGTGCTTAGAGCACTAAGTGGGAGAAAGGAAAGGCCAACAGACACTTCCAAAGCCACAGCAGCGGTGGCTGTGCCGCTAGATTCCTGAGCACCGTTACAGTTACCTTGAGGTTCAGAGGGTTTCCGGAGAGTAGGACTAAGGAATCTGAGGAACGGCACCGTGGGACACTACATGGGATACCAAGGTTCCTAGACTGGAAGATGAGATAAGAAAAGTGGGTCTGGGAAGCAGAGGCAGGAGATGGAGAGGGAAAAGGCTATGCCTAGAGGAAATAAAGTCTGGAACTTGTCAGGAGTTCCGGGAATGAAAAGCAGCAGCCGCCAGTCAGGGAGATGGACTAAGTAGGAGAAAACCTGGGATTTTATACCTTCCAGGAGGTAGCACTGAATCCTACAGTGGCTAACGAGTTTCCGCTAAGATTAAGCCACCCATTTTAAAGAACTGACACCGTTTTTTTGACAGATTCTAATAACATTGAGAATGTAAGAGTGTATGTGTAGGAGTGCAGCCACCCCAGCGACTGAACATCAACAAAGACGGGCTACAATCTAATTAAGTCTAGAAAACAAAACAAACAAGTAATGCTACCATCCAGTGAAGAGATTTCCTCATTTTCCCACAGCTTTTTAGTCATTTCCTAAAGCACAACCATTCTGACCACTAATACCTATTGCCAAGTACTGTACAATCAGGGTGACCATGATCAAAGCCCCATTCCTCTTTCCCTCCCCCCTGAACCTTGAGTGCCTCTGTGACCCAGAACACAGCAGGCAAACAACAATGAAGTTATTAGTTTTGTGGAGGGGCAGGGAAATGGGATCAAAACTAGCTAGCCACATACGTAAGTAAACAAATGACATCAAACTATTTAGTCAGTCAGAATCCCTTACACTAAAAAGTCACAACCTCCAGACTGATTCAGCAAAACAGGTTACTCAGACGCTCTGAGCCTGGCAAGAGCTGGTTTTGATCATTCTGGTCAGTTTTTATTCTGATCTCAGACGCCGGTGCCGAAGATGGCCCTGCCTTGCAGGGAAAGGCTCGGCATGAAAACACCTCGGGGTGGCTGGTCACTTCCGTGGTGCCAGTGCCCCCCCCTCAGTTGTCCACCTCCTCCTCTTCGTTCTGCTCCTCCTCTTCCGGCCTTTCCTCATCCTCCTCCTCTTCCTCCCTGCTCTTGTCCTGCTCTTCGGAATCGGTCCTTCTGTCTTTGTCCTTCTTCTTTTGCTCGGAAGCTTCCTTCTTGCCTTTCTGTTCCCGCCTGTATGCTGTAAGGAAGGAGGAGGTTAATGTTTAAGTTGACAAACTGCCCACATCCTGTATCTGGACTCACGACCAGTACTGGATTACTAAAATCAGGAGATCTGGGGACGGAGGAGCGAGCGAGTACCTTCTAGAGCCTCTTTCAGGGGCGTGACGAACCGCTGGAACTCCATCTCTTCCATGGCGGACAGCACATCGCTGGCATTTAGGGTCTTGCGCTTGCCTTTCATGGCGAAGTTGTTCGCACTGGAAGAAAACGCAGAGCCCTTCATGGGCTGCCAGAGCGGCTGGGACCAGAGACACCGAGAGGCGGGCGGGAGAGCCCACGTTTATCTTTGATTCACTGGGTTTCTCTGCGACACCACCCAGCCCCCCTTCTCCTGCAGAGGGGCGCGGCAGCCTTCTGGATCAGCCTCAGGGTTTGCGGGAGAGCGGGGGTCGGGGAGACCGGGGCGCCGGGACCCCGTGGGGCCGCCCTCCCTGCTTGGCTCACCAGGATGTGGCATACAGGACGAAGACGCTGGCGGCGCGGGAGATGGCGCTGCGGGCCTCCTTGGAGATGCTGACGCCGTCCGGGAGCTGCGGGGGTGGAGACAAGCGCGCGCGCGGGTCTTGTTAACCCTCTGCCCCCTCGTCCGCCCTCGGCCCGTTCGCCAGCCCGAGCAGCTCACCGCCTCCTTGATGATCCTGGTAATGACGGCGTTGGGCAGATTGAGGTCCTCGGGCCTCTCCGCCATTGCCTCCGCCGGGGCCCGAGCCTTCTCCGCCTCAGGCCTTCCCTTGGGACGCTTCTGGTGTCTGGACTTCCCGCGTCGCTAAGATCTGACCCTCCGAGGCTTCCGTCCCACCCGGCGTTGCCGGTGTCCCGCGATGCTTTGCGCACCACAGCCTCCCTTCTGCACCAGCCCCGCCTCAAGTCGCGGGTGTAGCCACGTCTTCCATGTCGCAATGGTTTCGGCTCACTAAGGTTCCCGTCAGCCTCTCCTGCATCTTCGACGTTCCTCCCGGGCCTCGTTTCCTTACCACGCGCTGTCACTCACTGGGGCTTTCAAACCAGACTAAATTTGGCTCTCTGGAGTTTCCGTCTATTCTCCCATCGTGCCCTGCGCCGCTGCTAGGCAACGGGGGGCATGGTGCCTAGCGTGGAAGGTGAGGGCGTACCCTGAGCCGGTGGGACGGGACTCGGACGGTCGAGATGGGCGTGGTCTCGCTGGACGAGGTGGGCGTGGCTCCTTGGGCGAGGCGGGCGGGGCCAAAGCCTCGGAGCATTTTCGCAGCCTGCATTGTCCCTAGGGGCTGGGAACGGAGCACTTTGGAGTCTGCTCTCATCCCGCGGTATCTCGAAATGACACTTGAGTCCTTCACCTTTTTGTTTTCTTTTTGGCTCGGGACTCAGTGGAGATTTCCTTCCAGTTTTACTGCATGTAAATTTACCGATGTCCATCTTTAATCGTTTTCCCCTCACGACTCTGCGATAATCGTATTAAAGATTAAACGTTATCTAAATCTTTTTTTAAATTCCAACTATTTTATTAGGACAGCTGTAATGCTGCCGATATCCAGAGACGCCTGATGAGACTTCGGAGCTCAGGTTGGACTGGTCCGGTACTGAAAGGGCGGGAAGCATCTGATAGTAAGAATAATGCATCATACTCTCGTTCGCATTAAAACACCCACCCGTGTTAACGTTGTATTTGTTAATCCATTAAGTGATTCTCCGTACATATTCCCCATCAAAGTCATCACAGGATTTTACATTTTCAATGGCCTTTTAAGGTATACAATTTTCATATCAAGTACAGAAAAAAATTCTTCATGAGAAACTAATGCTCTTTCTCTCTCTTTCTGTGTGTTCCTCTTTCTTTTTTCTTACAACATGTTCCAAGACTTGTTTTCCTACTTTTCATGGAGACGTAATTACAAAGAACTATTTCCCTATTGGGAGGGGAAAAAAAACCCAATCCACCAAGGCAAGTAAGTTAATGAATGGTCCTGAGGGATTGTTGTGGTGGAAAGAACTCTACACTTAGAACAGACCTGATTTAAAGACATCATAAGCCTTAGTTCCAGCCACTATTTAGCTGGAACTGGTGCTGTTAGTCATTTTGATATAGGAGAAAAGCCAAAAACTGAACATTATGGATCATTTCATTTTCAAGATACTGGCTCAAAATGCCTGCCAAGCTAAATAAGTCATAGGCCAGGTGCAACCCAGGCCAATAGTTTCCCATTTCTGATTTAAATTATAAGCTGTTTAAGACAGAGAGTTTTTTATTGCTGTTCCCTATGTCCCCTACAAGTTCTCCCACATATTTGGTAGTCAATAAATGTGTTGAATAGAAGAGGAAATGGATATTGTCTGTAAAAAGTTACTAAGGTGTGGGGAGATGACTCAGTGGGAAAAGACACTCTGTACCAAGGCTGAGGACCTGAGCGGTCTCTGTATGCAGGACAGAATGAGCTCCTGCTGACGCTCACATGTGCCCACAAAATGACTAAAATGCTTTTTGTTTTGTTTTCTTTTGTTTTTTTTTCGAGACAGGGTTTCTCTGTATTGCTTTGGAGCCTGTCCTACAACTTGCTCTGTAGAACAGGCTGACTTCGAACTCAAAAGATCCACCTGTTTCCACCTTCCCAGTTTTGGGATTAGAGACATGTGCCGCCATGCCTGGTGATGCTTCTACAGTTTTTACAAAAATAAAAAATTTCTGAAATCATAATATAATTCCATCATTTCCCCCTTCCCTTTCTTCTCTCAAAACTTCTATACAAATATGTGTATATATGCTCCTACAATGTAAAAAAATAATTTTATCTTTTGAGATCATAATATAAAATCCTTTTCCCCTTCCTTTTCCTTCCTCTATACCCTTTTATGTAAGCTCCCCTTCTTTTTCAAATTCATGACCTCTTTTTCTTTGTTGTTATACATATATGTGTGTAGCATTTATATATACATATATATACACACATACACATGACACACACCCCCTTATACACACATAAATACAATCTGCTCAGTCTGAATAATTTATTTGTATGTTTTCAGGGCTAACCATTTGGTATTGAATGACCAATTGTTATGATCTTCTCTGGGTAGACGATTTCTTCAGATCTTCAGCATTCTTTAGTTGTCTGTGGTTCTTTGCCAAGGGTTGAGGCCTCCTGAGTTTTCCTCCTTCTTTGTTAGCAAGCCTATTGGTGGTGCGCTTGTTCAGCTCATGTGTAGGCAGTCACGTTGGTGGGACTCCATGGGAATAGCTTCTGTGCATCAGGCTTTCTTTTTTGGGTCACCAACCAGCTCCCAAGTCATGACAAAGAGACTTCTTATTAGTTATGGCTGCTTGGCCTAGCTTAGGCTCCTTTCTAGGTAGTTCTTTTAATTTAACCTGTTTCTCTTCGTCCACCTTTTGCCTCGGGGCTTTTTACCCTTCTTTCTTCTGTGTGTCTCACTTTCACTGCTTCTTCCTGCCTGGCTAGTGGCTGCCTGGCTTCTGGCCCTGGGTGTGTCCCTCTCTCCCTCGTTCTCTTCTACTCTTCTTTAGATTTCTCCTCCTTCTATTTATTCTCTCTGTCTACCAGCCCCACTTATTCCTCTACTGCCTACCTATTGGCCGTTCAGTTTTTTATTAGACCAATCAGGTGCCTTAGGCAGGCAACGAGAAACAGATGCAGCACGTGTTTGCATAGTTAAAGGCAGCACAAACAAGTGTAACACACCTTTACACTTTGTCCGGTTAAAATAATATCCACAGCACTTCTGACATTTCTTCTCGTTTGTTTGTTTTGGAGACAGGGTTTCTCTGAGTAACAGCTCTGGCTGTCCTAGAACTAACTCACTTTGTTGTGTTTAGAAGTACCAGCTGTCACTGGGCTCTATAACTCCTTGTTTTGATTGGATTTGGTTTTCAGTAATGGTCTCTGTCTGTTGCAAAGAGAAGTTTCCTTAGTGAGGGGGTGAGAACCACACTTATCTGTGGGTATAAGGACACACGTTTAGAGTATAGTTAGGTATTATGCTGGCTTAGTAAATTGGTGGTTGTAGGTTTTCCTCCATGGTTCGTAACTTCCCTAGACCTAAGTAGTTGCTTCCAGTACCAGGCATGATTTCCCACTTGTTAAGCAGGTCTTACGTCTCATTAGAGAGCCGTTGGTTACTACCTAGGTTGCGTGCCTCAATCTCACCCTCAATCATGGTGCCACCATGGTCCTGGGTGTGCCTCATCGGCATCATTGATGGCTTCTCTGTTAACCCTTAGGGAGGGGGCTTTCAGGCTAATCTGAGCTCTGTGCTTGAAGTGTATTATGTGTTCAGTAAAAGGGACTTACCTTCCACCTTTGGGGGCAACTAAGGACAATAGCAATAGCCTATAATGTTTTGGGAGTCCCTTGAAAAACCCTGACCAACAACTGAAAAGAGGGATTTTCATATCGAGTGTGGTTTTTGGTTGATGGTCAATGGCTCTTAGAGGGAGTACTATTAGCCCAGATAGGAAAATTTCACTTAAATTCTTTATGTCTATTTATATACTGACTTACGTGAATTATAGCTATTTTTAGGTAGATAGTTAAAAGTATGATTAATCCCAGCACTCAGGAGTTCAAGACCAGCCTGGTACAGAGCGAGATCCAGGACAGCCAGAGATACACAGAGAAACCTTGTCTGGAAAAACCAAATAAAATAAAAAGGATGATTCCTTTTGACCTTTTCAGACATCTGCATTATTTTATTATACTCCCTCCTTCTATTTATCTCCCCCATCCTAGTCAGAGCCCCTCATTTTCCCCATTTAGACCACTTGTGCTCTGCTAGTCCCCTCCCCTTTTCTTTAATTCTTGATTTGTGTGTGGGTATGTATGTTCCTACAATGACATTTTTAAAATTTATGTTGTGTGTAGTGATGCTCATTTGAATGTGTGTACCACATGCATTATAGTATCTGTGGAGCATGTAATCCTTTGGAACTAGTTTTACAGAAGGTTGTGAGCCATCATGTGAGGGTGCTAGGAATTAAACCCAAGTTCCCTGGAAGAGTAGCCAGTTCTCTTCACGGCTGAGCCAGGTCTCCAGCCCTCTTACAATCTTATGTCGGACCCGCGATATCTTTATGAGGAAACGGCCTGAGAAAGGTGAAATTATTTGGTCAAGACCACACAGACAGTAGATGAAAAGTTAATGGTCTCTGAATTGACAACAGGTCATGTAATTTGCAGTCTGAGCAAAGCCATTCACCAGTAGTGATTATTATAGCATTTATTTTTCAAGACAGGGTTTGTGTAGCCCTAGCTGTCCTGGAACTAACTGTGTAGATCAGGCTGACCTCGATCTCACAGATATCTGCCTGCTTCTGCCTCACCAACTTCTGACTTTTTTGTTTGCTTTGTTTTTATTATAGCATTTTGAAAAGTGAAGAATGCCTTCTAAATAGCACTTCTGTGACTTCATTGTTTTAAAAATTTTATCGTTGGTTTCTTTATGAGATGGGGGTCTCACTATATGGCCTTGCCCAGCCTGAAACTTGCTATGTCGATTATGCTGGCCTTGAATTCATAGGGTTGCACCTGCCTCTCCCTGCTAGAATGCTGGGTTAAAGCTGTATGCCTGTCCCAACTGGTTGTAATTTTCAAAGATGATGGCATTTTTGTAATGATAAATGATACGGAAAAGAAAGGATGCTAATTTAATACTTTTTTCAGTGTGTGTGTATGTGTAATGCATGTGTGTGTGCAGGCATGTTTGACCACTCAGATATATACAGAGAAGCTAAAAGTTGACACTGAGTGTCTTCCTAATTGCTTCCCCGTTTTATTTCTTGAAGCAGGATCTCTCACTGAACTTGGAAATGGCCAGTGCAGTTAGACTAGTGGCCAACAAGCCCTAGGACTCACCTGCCTGTGCCTCCCCGTGCCACATCTGTCTGTGTGTGGCTGTGTGTGGCCGTGTGTGGCTGCTGCTGAGCTGAACTCAGGCCCTCAGGCTTGCACTTCCACAGCCACAAGTCAGCTCCCGCCCTGGTTTTTCCCAGGTTTTCTGTCTGTCTGCATAGTGTGTGTGTGTGTGTGTGTGTGTGTGTGTGTGTGTGTGTGTGTGTAGAGGCCAGAGGACAATGCGCAGGGGTCAGTTCCCTTCTTCCACCATGTGGGTTTCGGGGGTCATCGAACTCATATTGTTAGGCTTGTTCACAAATACTTTTACTCCCTGAGCCATTTCCCTGGCCCTGCTTTTATTTTATTTTATTAATTAATTAATTTATTTATTTATTTGGTTTTTCGAGACAGGGTTTCTCTGTGGCTTTGGAGGTTGTCCTGGAACTAGCTCTTGTAGACCAGGCTGGCCTCCAACTCACAGAGATCCGCCTGCCTCTGCCTCCCGAGTGCTGGGATTAAAGGCATGCGCCACCAACGTCCGGCTTATTTTATTTTATTTTTAATGTAGGAAGTTTTACTGGGGGAAGGGAAGGGAAAGGAGAGGGGAGAGAGAAAGAGAGTGAGACAGGGAGAGAAAGAAAGAGGGGGACAAAGACCTGCCTGCCTCTTCAGAGGAACACTGGGAAAGAGATCCTGCTTTTGTTTTTTGAGACAAAGACCTCACACTGGCTGAGGATGGCTTGTAATGCATTGTGTAGCCTAGGCTGACTTCACATTCCTGCTCATCCTCCTCGCTCAGCGACCGAGCTGCTGGATCACTTGTGTGAGCACATGGCTCTGACATTTAGTTCTGAATTATTTGAGCAAATTTTTTGTTTGTTTTTTGTTCTGTGAGATGGCAAGGTCTCACTATGTAGACCAGGCTGGCCCCAAACTCCCAGAGATCTGCCTCCTTTTGCTTCCTGAGTGCTAGGATTTAAGGTGTGCACCACCATGGTCAGCCTTAAGCAAGTTTTTGAATGTCTGTAAACTAATTGTAGTTCCTGAAATAGACTTGTCATTTCACAGATGAGGAGACTGAGGCAGAATGGGAAAGTCTCAAGTCACTCAGTTGTAAATGGCCGATTGGAAGGACTTTTGAAGACAGTCTCCCAAGCTTGCCTTTTGACCTCATACTATCTTCATACTTGCTTGTTTTTCAATACTCTATTTTTGTGTGTGATCAGCATTACTTATATGGGTTCAATAGACAGTTTATTATTTCAAAATGAGATCTGGACTGCATGGCTGTCTAATGTATAAAAATAATACCCCTGGGGCTGGAGAGATGGCTCAGCGGTTAAGAGCACTGACTCTTCTGGAGGACCTGGGTTCAGTTCCCAGCACCCACAAGGCAGCTCACACCTGTCTCTAACAACTGGTCCAGAGCTTCTGGCATCCTTACACAGACATACATGCAGGCAAAACACCAAAGAACATTAAATAAAACAAATTATTTTTAAAAATAACCCTAAAGTGTGTGTCTGCTAATTCTCCAGAGGCTAAAACACTGTAAGATTGGGTTTTGTCTTAAAACGTTTATAGATATGAACTTTCCAAATGAGAATCCGTGGGACGAGGCCATCTGCAGCTCAGCAGTCTGTCAGCATCCACAATGCTGGGCATCTCTCCGACGGATTGAGAGGGGCCACCCTAGGATCCTGGACTCATCCAGCAGATTTTCCCGGGAAACTGAAGGTGCGTTGGCTAGCCTCTGTTATCTTCTTCATAAAGTCCTTATACTGTTTTTGTTTGATTCCCTTCTCCAAGCAGTAGTTTACATGTTTTGTTCTGGTCTGCTTTCTCAGACAAACTCCCGACACTCACCATTGTAAATATCACGGATACCTGCTTGTGGACCGAGAAGAGTGTGGTTCAGCGACAGCCATCAGAATTTGCCTTCCCTAAGGAGCGGTCTTTATTGTCGAAACCAGCCTCCAGGCGTCATGGCAGGTAGGTGATCATGGAATCTTTCCTCAGCACACTGTCTCCCAATCCATGTAGATGACTCTGAGAACTATGGATTTAAAAGAAAAACCGAGGACTGAGGATGTAGCTCAGTGATAAGACCCCTTTGCTCGGGGGCTGGAGAGATTAAGAGCACCTACTGCTTTTTCAGAGGTCCTGAGTTCAATTCCCAGCAACCACATGGTGGCTCACAACCATCCGTAATGAGATCTGGTGCCCTCTTCTGCCGTGCAGGCATGGAGGCAGGGTGTTGCATTCATAATAAATAAATAAATATTAAAAAAACAAAACAAAAAAAAGACCCCTTTGCTCAGCACCTATGAGGCTTTGAGTTTGACCCCCAGTGTTACCAAAAACAAAACAGCAAAATGGAACATAATCCAAGTTGAGTATTAAGCGGGGAGAGGAGAGCCCGAAGGAAACAGCCACACGTGTGTTCCAGGAGCAGGGTGACTTGGGGCTGTACTGGTTTGCCCATGTGAAGTACCATTGCCTGGGTAGTAGAGCTAATGAAATTCATTGTCACAGAATTCTGGAGGTGAGAAGTCTGAGATGAAGGAGTGAGTTATTTTTTCTTAGGCCCCTCTCCTAGAAGATGACATCTTGTCCTTCAGTCTTCTGGTGTGTCTAACCCTAATCTCATAAACCCCACCCACAGGGCCTTATCTCATTTTAGTTCTCTTTAAGGAGTCTAAGGAGTCTGTCTCTAAATGTCACATTCTCAAGTACTGGGATTAGGAACTCAGTGAGTGAATTTTAGGTGTTGGGGCACAACTTAGCTGATAATGGGTGACCTTCTCATTTTCTGAAGGTCATCAGAGAACACATGCAGTCTGCCTTCTTTCCTTCCTTCATTTTCCTTCCTTCCTTCCTTGCTTCCTTCCTTCTTTCTTTCTTTCTTCTTCTTCTTTTTTTTTGATAAGGTCTCTTCATAGTCTCGGCTGTCCTGGAACTCACTAAATAGACCAGGCTAGCCTTAAACTCACAGAGATTTACCTGTCTCTGCTTCTCAAGTGCCTGGTTCATGCTGTCTTTTTATTTTTTATTTTTAGGTATGAAACTACTTGTAAACTCCTAGTGGCTTTTTTGTTTAATCTCTTGCAAAGTCTAGCCATCCAGTTTTTCTGAAACATGAGATTTCAGTTCTGTGGAAACCTTAGCTTTTAAAATTCAAAGACCTTGCTGCCCAGAGTCCAAGCACTAGTGAGTGCCCTTGAAGCGGCTTTTCTCCAGTCTATGTAAGCAATTTGGTGATTTTTCTTAGGCTTGAGTTAGTATAGGAGAGACTAGGACTACTCTCTGATTCTCTAGGACCTGAGCCCTGAGAAAACAGCATCAACATTCAGCCAGGTACCTGCGCTGGGCCCCACATCTGCACACAGGCACGCTTCTGCTTCTGCAGGTCCTATGGGCCAGTGCTGCAGAGAGCCCCCTCACCAGCCAGTTTCTCTTCCATCTGTCTCTTCCATGTTGCTGTCCGCCTCAGCCTCTGTCCTAGACTATTCCCGAGTGACCTGGAGTGTGGGCTTCTGCTCTCCTACCTCTTCACTAACACTTTTCCATTAGGACCAACAGATTAATGCTTTGCCCATCTCCTCACTCAACTCATTCCTTCAAATCTGCTCATTCTAGAGTTGTAACCTTAGTATTGCTGGACTCCTCTCTAGTCACGGTCCTTGCTCTCTGATGTCAGCTTTTTCTCAGAGCCCAGCTGGCTTTTCTGATGGCGACTCGCTGTCTCTAACACTTTGCCCATGAGGTCTCTCAACCTTAAAGGCTCCCTTCCCTCTGCTCTGCTTCATTAAATCCCTGGAGTGGCTTACACTGCCGCAGGAGGTCCCGCATTCCTGATGGACCTTATCTTATGTGTGCTTTTCCTCGGTCTGTAGGCTCCAGCCACACTGTCTTTTCTGTCTCTGTCACCTCCCACCCATCGCTCATGCACTTACAGTTTGCTCCTTAGACTGGCGTTTGCAGCCACCGTTCCTGACACTTGGGTCAGACAGTTATTACTGGGGTCTGTGCTGTGTGTCATTGGTCACTGAGCTTCATTCCTGTCTGTACCCACTGCAAGCCGGTACTACCCACCTGAAACTGTGACAACCTAAAATACACCATATGTTGCCAGATGTCCCTTGGGGGCAGAGTTGCCCATTTGAGAAAATTGCCTCAGATCTTTCTGCAGCTAATTCTTCCTTGTCATCTAGTTTGAAATTAAGAATTGCTTTTTCACAGAGGTGAGCACCTTATAAAATATACACTTTGACCATCATTTGATATGCATCCTGATCTGAGAAGCCTTTTATTGATTTGCTTGCCTGGTTGCCACAAAACACAGCTCTCACTTCAAAGGGAATACAAGCTGGGCATGGTGGACCACACTTTAATTCCAGCACTCAGGAGGCAGAAGCAGGTAGATCTCTGTGAGTTTGAAGCCAGCCTGGTCTACAGAATGAGTTCCGGGACAGCCAGAGTTATACAGAGAAACCCCTGTCTCAAATAACAACAGCAAAAAAGGAATATAAGATGTTCATTCTTGGGCTAGAGAGATGGCTCAGAGGTTAAGAGCACTGACTGCTCTTCCAGGGGTCCTGAGTTCAATTCCCAGCAACCACATGGTAGCTCATAACCATCTAATATTCAATCTGGTGCCCTCTTCTGGAATGTAGGCAGAAAAGTGTATATGTAATAAATAAAGAAATAAATCTTTTTTTAAAAATGTTATTCTTGAGCCAAATATGAATGACCATGGCCTGAAACACAGAGGTTACTTACAGAGGAGATCTCTGTTGTAGGTCTCAGATGCTACATGATGACATTCTCACTTAGCTGTTGGGTGGCTGACAACTAATGATCTGTTAATACATCTCAAAAGCATGTTAGGTCAGACACAGAGCTGGACAACAAACCGTTATTAAAGGAAGGAGAGATAGCCCAGAGAATTTGGTTCTGGACCTGTAGCATCCTAACTCCCTATGATCAGTCAGTCCCTCAGCCTTACAGACTCTTTAATATTGATACAGCTTTGGGAGTGAGGGTGAGGGCATCAGTTCACAGATTCCTTGCATTACAATGTCGGTGCTGGGGCTAGAGAGATGGCTTAATTGTGCCACCCTTCCAAAGGGCTCAGGATAGATGCCTAGCAGTCTATTCCTTCCTGTGTCTCCACCAGTGCATGGCACAGAGTGGTAGCTAAGATTTCTGATGAATGAGTGAATATGGCCTCCTCCACTGTCAAGGCTGAATTTTACCTCTTACCATTCTCCCTGAGGGATGGTTCTTCCAGCAGCCATGTTTATGAGCGTGTTCCGGTCCTACATCTTCTTTGCTCCCCTGGATTTGAGCCCTTCCGACAGCAGGAGTCATAGCATCATTTGTTAGCTGTAACACGAGTTCTAATAGGGCTTACTAATAAAAGCCCAGAGTCAGATATAGGGGAAAAGGCTGAGAGATCAGAGAGAAGAAGGAGCAAGGCAAAGCCATCTTTATCTCACCAGCTTCCCAGCAGAAAAGAGACTGAATTCCTGTTTCCTCCTGCCTATATTCCTTTCTCTGCCCAGTCATCTCACTTCCTGTCTGTATGTACAGACCTCCAGACCTCTATGGTTAGCTAGTGGCAAGCTCCACCCTCTGATGGTCAGACATGCTTTATTTGTATAAACAATATATCACCACAGTTAGTCACATATGTAGCTGACAGATATGTTTTTAGTGGGGGTCACCAGACTGGGTGTTGGGGATACAATAGGGTTTTGTTTACCTTATGGAAGTAAGACAGTGTCTATGCCCAAAGGCTTTCATCCTAGCTGGGGGAGGCAAAGGCACCAGCAGTTGGGGTGGGGGTGGGGTGCGTATCCAGTGTGGAGTGTCCTAAAAGGACTGCTCTCTGGGGCTATGGGAGCACAGGACAGATTTCCTAACCTAGGACACTGTCATCTACACAGGGAGCATTGATCCCCAGCCCTGGAATTAGAACAGCATATTGAAGGGGGGAGGCTGGCATGTGGGAAGCTGGCAGGGAGGAAATTCCAAACTATATACTAGCATATGCAGAGGCCTGCAAATGAGAGGACATTCTTCAAGAGTCTGGAACACAGACAGAAATGATGTAGTCTCAGAGGTAAGGCTGAGCTGTAGAAAATACCAATGGAAAGTAAGGTCTCCATCACATGAGACTTCATCAGTCAGGATGAGTAGATGCTTTGTTTGCATACCTCCATGTTACTCTGTCATTCATAAATTCAAGATGTTTTAAAATGAGGAACAAATGATATGAAAACATTACAGATTCTCTCTCTCGGGTGCATGCGTGCGTGTAAGCTGCGAGCATGACACTGAACGTGTGGAGGTCAGAGAACGACTTTTGGGAGTCGGTTCTGTTCTGTCTTTCCAGTGTGGGTGTCAGGGTCAGGTTGCCAGGCTTGCACAGCAAGTGCTTCTGCCCTTGAGCCGGCCCTCAACCTGATGTTATTTAAGGTGCTGTACTCTTTCTCTTTAGTTAGAGAGAGGCACAGGCTACGGGTTGAACTGGTTGAGATACCTAGTTATAAAGTGCAGTGTGCAATGTTTGTTTGGGAGTGCCTGTGTTCACTCGATTAGTGTTGGACCCCAGGCCTTCAGAGTAAGTAGATGGGTTTTCAGAGCATGAGCTTTAGTATGCTATCACTTTCTTTTTCCTTTGACTCTGTTTTATGCTTGAAACTCCTATCATCCAGGTCTCGGAAGGCTTTGCTTGACAAAGGTGTGACCAGCCATTCTAAACCTCCCAAAGTAAGTCACAGTCTTTTTTTTTTTTTTTTTTTTTTTGGTTTTTTTGAGACAGGGTTTCTCTGTATTGTTTTGGAGGCTGTCCTGGAACTCGCTCTGAAGAGCCGGCTGGCCTCGAACCCACAGAGATCCGCCTGCCTCTGCCTCCCGAGTGCTGGGATTAAAGGCGTGCGCCACCAACGTCCGGCGTAAGTCACAGTCTTAAAAGTTGCTTCCTCTACTTTTTTCTTTTTATTACTAGGAATGTTTTGCCTTTGACATTACTCTTTCTTTAAAAAATTTTATTCTGTGTGTGTGGTTGTTTTGCCTGTATGTATGTCTATGCACTGTATGTATGTCTATGTGTGTGCCTGGTACTCCAAAGCCAGAAGAGGGCATTGGATCCATTGGAGCTGGAGTTACAGATGGTTGTGAGTCACCATATGGGTGCTGGGAATTGGACCTGGGTCTTACTCTTTGATCCATCTCTCCAACCCCAGCATCATGGAATGAGGAAGATAATAACTGTCCTTACTGTATGCTAGACTGTCTCTGTGCTAATAGCTCCACACACTACATTGTCTTTAGAAACCCTAGACACAAGAGAGTGACTTGTGAATGTTTGGATAGGTGAGAATTTCTCTCTGTTCTTATATAGAACATGTTCAACTTTTAAGTAAAAATTCTCATTTCATAAACAGAGAACTTAGATTGCTGAAATGTCAGGCTGAAAATGGGTCTTAAGGTCATCTAGTCAGCTGACTCCAACTAAAAACTGTGATCCATAGTTAGATATGGATTTTATATACATGTATGAAATTATAATGGAACCATTACTTTATATGCCAACTAAAAATTGCTAAATTTTGTAGTCAAAAAGAGCATAAAATAATCTTTACCTTCAGCATATTTTCTGTCCTGTTTTTCTCTCCCTTTCTCTTCTCTCCCTCCCCTTTCTTGCTTTTTTTAAAGACAGGGTCTCATTATGTAGCCCTGGATGACTTGGAACTTGTTATGTATATTAGGCTGGCTTGGAACTCACAGAAATCCCCCTGCCCCTACATCCCCAAGTCTGATCAGTGGGCAAGACTTTATTTTTGATAACTTTGAAAAAATAATTTTGAAAAGATCTTAAACAGAATATGGGCTAGATGATTCATAGGATTTCCTTGAACCCTCATGCTGTGTGATCGATCTCAGGGGTGGGAGAAATTAGTATGTTACTGCATATGGATTTCTGTAATTACAGACAGGGCAAAACTAAAGAAATACCCGTGCTCAGTATGTTCTAAAATAGGTCCAAAATGTGGGCTGCATTACCTGCAGGGAATCCAAGTCTTTGCAGTGGAGTGGCGGAATAAGTAGTGTTCCTCGAGGGTTGCCGCCAGACATCCTCATGTAAGATAGGTTTTCCTAAATTCCACAGTAATGTCATGGCGAAGCAGGGAATGTTATTGTTTAAAACTTCTAGGTCTTAAGAAGTGCTTGTATTGATATCTGATGTAGGAAGGTCTTTTTGAAAAGTAATTTTCGGAATCCCCAAATATTTTGGTGGCTCTAACAAGGCAGCATTTGGCCTGAGGCCCCAACCGCCTGCTGATGCTCACCCCTGACCACGGCATACCTTTTCCAGCTGTCAGTGTTGAATCTGAACGAGGCGAAACTCCCTTTCTCTGAAGGTGTCAGAAACATGGTGGTCACCTGGGTTCCAGAAGAAGCAGAGAAGCACGTGAGGTGAGCATCCTGTCTAGAACTTAGAGGCCTTGATACCCGTCCTCTTTCAACTCCCTGCGGCCTTCGGCAGACCCCTTTTGTGGTCTCCCTTTTAGCTACCTCACTGTGAGCAGCCACAGGCCAAACCCAGGCTTGCTTCTGCCTCTTCCTGCACTGGGGCTCTGTTGTAATGTACTGTGAGATGTCTGCTGCGGGAGTTCTCTACTTCAGATTCTACGTGGATGGAAAGAGCGCATAAGACAGAGTCCAGCTTACTTACCTTTGTTGATTTGTAACTGCGAGCATGTGCGAGCCACAGCACAGGTGTATCGGTGAGAAGACAGCTTGCTTAGGAGCTGGGCTTGGGGGCAGGACTTTCCACTTAAAAGAACCTGTTTATTAATTGGGGGTGCGGGTGGCATGCCACGGTGCCCTTGCAGAAGTCAGAGGACGACTTGCAGTGGTTGGTTCTTTCCTCTTTCACCTTTTGGGTTCCAGCAATGAAACTCAGGTCATCAGGCTTGGTGACAGGACTCTCCACCTGCTGAGCCACCTTGCTGCCCTCCTCCCAAAGCTAAATTTATAAGGTTTCAGAAATAAGTGCAGGGCCCATGAGATCACTTAGCAGGTAAGGACACTTTCCACCAAGCCTGATGACCTGCGTTTGATCCCTAGTACCCACATGGTAGGTGAAGACAGTGTCCTACAAGTTGTCCTCTGATCACCACAAGAACACTGTGGCATGTGTAGCTCCAGCCCCTGAAATACATAAAAAAAGAAAAACAAGAAACAAAACCCTGCCACTTTTAAGAAACACATTTTGGGTTTTGTTTCTCAACACTGAGGCCTAGGACACCTTGTACACAAGCAGAGGGAAGGCTCAAAGCTTGCTAACACTGACAACTGTAGGGAGGTGTTTGGTTTTTCCTTGAATTCTTGTTATGTGACTGAATTAAAGCAACAACAAAATGGTCTTTTCATTTATATCAATGATAAGAATTTCTTTTACACTTTCTCTTTGTGCCCAAATTGTCCTTCTTTGTGTGTGTGTGTGTGTGTGTGTGTGTGTGTGTGTGTGTGTGTGTGTGTGTGTGTGCTGTCACCAACAAGAGCTGTGGAAGTTCGTTTTCTGTTATGTAAAGAAATCATGGAGGTAGGTGGGCCAGGGATGGAGTGGTGGTTGTACGAAACAGATGGAATGGCAGCTTCCCCCAGCATCTCCATGCTTGTCATTCACAAATACCCTTAGTGCTTTCATTTAAAATGTCTGGGAATGAGTTCTGGTTTTTCTTATTTCAAGTTCAGTTGGAAAGACGTCTGCTTTTTCCAGATGGCCTGGGAAGAAGAAGAGAAAGAAACTGGAAGAGGTGAGTTCCATGCTCTGTCCCTTGTGAAGTGATTCTGTAGGGTTGATGGTTTTTCCTTTCAGATATTCCCCACCCTGTCTCACCCCTTTTTATCTATGAACAAAATCTGTAAACAAAACCCCTTCTTCAGGAGTAGCTACAGACATTTTCAGACCCTTTCCCTGTCTATGCTCTGTAGGAAGGGAAGAAACTCTTTGAAGAGAGGACAGAAGGCAGTAGTGGCTACCAGGGGGACTTCTGTCGGTTAAAAGCAAATCCCCAGTGTGATGGGATAGTTTTCCAGTGAACCCGGAGTTATTAGGATCTGGGCTCCCAACCCCAAGCCCGCCTTTCTGGTAAAGGTGATCTTGTGGCTCTGGAAGTAGTTCCTGCTCTCTTTCCTTCCTTGACCAACTCCCACTTTCTGTCTGGCACCTGATTGGGTGGTAATTGTAAGTTTGTTCAGTGGATAAGTGAATGACCTCTCCAGAAAATCAAATTGATCCTGACTTGATCTCATTGGAACAGCATATTGGAAACCCAACAATGGAGAAACTGGGTGTCCTTCATGGAGGAGAAGGTGGAAAAGTTGAAGTAGGTCTATGTGTTATTTTTTGTTGTTATTGCTGTCACCAGAATACCTGAGAGAGCAACTTCACAGGTGGAAAGATTTATGCTGGCTCCTGTTTTAGAGGGTTCACACCACATAGTTGCTTGGCCTCAGATTCCTGGGCAGAGTATTGGGATGTAGGAGCGTGTGGCACAGGCTGTTCTGTTCTTAGAAAGCTGGCTGCAAAGACAAGGAGTGCAGGAAGAGGCTAGGGAGAGATGTAGTCTCCAGGACCATGTCTCCTACTGCTGCCAGCCAGGCTCCGCCCCCTTTACTGTGTCCCAGTTATGCCATCATATTAGGAACCCATCAAAGATTAATCCATTTATTACATCAGTGACCTCATGGTCTGATTATTTCTGGACACACCCAGAGAGTGCTTTGCTAATCTCTTTACCATTTTTATTAGTTGTTGGTGTGTGTGAACACATGTACCATGCTATGGGTGTAGAGATCAGAGGATAGCTCTTGAGAGTTGATTCCCTTCTTCCATCTTGGGTCCAGATTGTGCAGCAAGGGTTTTTACCCACTGAGCCCTGTCACCTGCTGCCCTCAGTGTTGTTTTGTTTTTTAATTTTATTTATTTATATTTTATGGATGGATGCTCTGCATGTATACTTGCATGTGAGACAAGGGCATCAGATCCTATTACAGATGGTTGTGAGCCACCATGTAGTTGCTGGGAATTGAACTCAGGACCTCTGGAAGAACAGCCAATGCTCTTAACCCCTGAGCCATCTCTCTTGCCTCACCTCAGTGGTGTTTGTTTTTAATTCAATCAAATGGACACTGACTGTCTGGAAACAAGGAGCATCGTTCTTCAGGGTGGGACACTGGTGGGAAGAAGCAGACTTGATGAGATGCTTCAGGGAATCCCTTGCGTTGTTTTTCTTCCAGAAAACCAAGCCACCTCTGTACTTCTCTGAAAGACAGTATGCAGTGGCACACTCAAGAAGCCCAGGGGTGATCGTGCCCCCTCCCTCCCCAGTGCACTTATTTGAGCAATTAAGTTCTGAAGCCATACCTTTATGGGCCCAAGTGGACATGCTTCCCCAGGATCTCTTGAAGGAGTGGTGAGCATCATGGAGTCCGTGGGGAGAGCCAGAGCCCTGCTTTTTACCGAAACTGAAAAAGGTGACAGGGAGCAAGCTGTGACCCCACTGGTTTGGATGACTAACGGCAGGGTGACGGTCATCATCACCACCATTCATCAAGCACTGAGCATCTACTGGGGCCCGGCTAAGCATATTGTGTAGAGTCTCATTTGAACTCAAGTTCTCTTTTTTCTCCCCGTAGATTTATTATGGACATTTGTCCATTTGGGAGGCGAACAGTGTATGTGGTTTGCAGTGTGACAACTTTTGAGTTGTGTAGTGAAACTGGCTTTGTGAATTATTGGTAACTTACTTAGCTCATTTTTTCTCATCTGCAAAACGAGGAGGACGACAATATCCACCTTGTGGGCACTGTAAGCGGTTAGGGGTCTAAAGCATAGGAGTCTATAGAGCCCTTAACAGATTCAGTGTGGTCACTGCAGTTGGGTGGGAAAGCCACTGCCAAGGGAGGCCCAAGCAAGCCTTCCAGAGCTAAAGTGGAAATTTCTCTAGATTTCAATCCCTTTCTTCTTTCTCTTGAGTCCCACTCTCTGGAAAGTCACGGACTGTCTGGGTGTCTCTGTCCCCATTAGCATTTTGGCACATGAGAAAACCATGCCTTGTCCTGAGGTGAAGATAGAGTTGGCCAGGATGAGGCAGAGTCTTCCCCTGGAAAAGACCCGCCCTGACAGCGCTCTCTCTACTAAGATGTACCTAACTGTACACCGCCTCACCCTGCAAGTAAGAACCACGCTGCCTCAGAGAAGCCTACAAGGAGGTCAAGCCCATCTGTCTTCCAGACAAGAAGAATTAGTTATCTGTCCATTCTTCATTCTGCCATGGCACTCTGGACCCAGGCCTTGCAAGCCGAGGGCCAGATTGTGTGAATGTGAAAGCCAGAATAGGGGGAGGGGCAAGGGAAGCAGGCTGCTGGGTTTTCTGGACTCTGGCTGCAACTCCTTTCCTTTCTTCCTTGGACCTTGACACAAGTCACTGCCAAACACTGTCACTTCAAATGTGTTTGTAGATTAGGTGAGAGCGTGTGCTTGGGGTAGAGAAAGACCCACACAAGAGCTTTGTGTTAATTCTTTTTCTGGCAGAGACCATCGTTGCGGTACCCTGAACATCTGAGGAAGCTGCAGTACGACCTGAAGACAGGCCAAGGATCTTCTGGGGCTGAGTCTTCAGGTGCCATCCTCCCCTCCGCCACCACACAGTTCTCTCACGCCCCTGTTCAGTTCTATTTCTTCCCACAGTCACACAGGGTCACGTGGAGAACTTGGGAGACCCCAGTTTCAGAGCAGTTTCTCTCTTAGTCCTGCCCAGGGAAGGGGAGTCACCTTAGTGGGGCAGGTCACAGCAGGTAGCCTAGCAGGAGGTGTGGACTCTCAGTGCAGAGAGGACTGAGCTGGGCTCCCTGGTTACCAGGTGTCAGAAGGCAGCAGAAGCAGCAGCAGAGGAAGGTGAAAACCTCTACTAAGAAACAGGTAGAGTAGTGAGGGAGCCTCTTGGGTGTGGGTGCAGTGAGGGCTGGGAAGGGGTCCCTGACAAGAGGGGTTCCCCCTGCCTGTTGGTTGTGGGTACGACATTATTATCTGGCTTTCATTTTAAGTTCTTTCTTTTTGTAAAAGTTTTCTTTGTTTCCATAAGTCCTAATTCAGTTCCTTCTTATGTTGGTTTCAGGAGGCTGAGAAGAAAGCCAAGAGCGCTAGTGATGTGCAGGACCAGTGCAGTATGTATAAGTCGACATTTATCTCTCTCTCTCTCTCTCTCTCTCTCTCTCTCTCTCTCTCTCTCTCTCTCTCTCTCTCTCTCTCTCTCTCTCACATCTCTCTCTCTCTCTCTCACATTCTCTCTCTCTCTCTCACATTCTCTCTCTCTCTCTCACATTCTCTCTCTCTCTCTCTCTCTCTCTCTCTCTCTCTCTCTCACACACACACACACACACACACACACACACACACACACACACACCATTAGTAAGTGATGGCATCCCAGGATGTAGCAGTAGTCAAACTTGCTCTTGTCATTTTAGAATGTGCCTTTGTCAAGCATTTAGAATTGTTCTGGGAATGCTCAGTCTGGCTGGCTGGTCTACCCTGAAGTCATTCTTGAACTAAATAGTTACTGACCTACTGCCAATGGGCATTTGAGAGACGATTGATTTATAGTTGTATTTTCTTCAGGTCTTCCTTTAAAAAGCTCAGAGTGAGAAGTAGGTGTAGTGATACATGCCTCTACCAGTACATCACAGACTGAGGTGGGATGGTTGGAAGTTCAAGGGTTACATAGACAGGTCCTATCTCTCAAGAGCCCTCTGGTTTCCCCACCAAAAGCCGGAGAGTTCAGGGGCTCAGCGGGCAGTCACACATTGTATCAACAGTAGCCAGTACTCAACAGGCAGCCTTTTTTGACTGGTATTCATGTTGATACTACAACTTGATTTAGCCAAAAGGCCGAGAAGCGATGGTGGCATTCATGTTGAAACCCAGAGTAGTACCTCTCGTTTTTTTGAGCTCTCATCTCATACGACTGAGGGATTCATGGAACATTGCTTGCCTGACATTTCTCAGCTGAATGCAAAGTAGGAAAGGCCAAGGAAGACTCTTCTAGAGTCTTGTAAGGTTGTTCTGCCTTGCTCAGACTGTGTATTGCTGGTTTTACTCTGTAAACAACCAAAGCCTGAGAGGGCTCAGCTGAGATGTCCCCAAGAAGGAAGCTGTCCTCTTGCTCGGCTTCACACCCACTGTTCTCTGATACCGGCATTATCCATTAACCTGAAGGTCTATAAAGGGTCCTGACTTCATGTAGGTGGTAGAGGAGGCTGAGGCCCAGGGTAGGAGGAGATTTGTCCCAGGTGAGTCATATCCAGGGTGATCACTCCCACAGTTCTCTTCTGGTACCTTCTGTGCCTCTTCCTGATGCTCCCAACAGGAGCTGTTTGGCTTGGGTGACTGGTATGCCTTTCTGAGTTATGGTCCCAGAGCAGTGGCCTGTCCTCCCTCAGTTGAGATGGGCTTTACAGAAAAGATGATTGGTGAATTGGATCTCAAACATGTGTGGGCTTCCTGATGTGGGAATCGAGTTCCTGGAATTGAGAGGGGCCTACATAGACTCTCTGAACCTATGCTTGTTTGCTCTTTATGTCCCAGGTCAGTAGGCCCATTCTGACTGTACACTGAAGCTAACTGAGTAGCTTTTAAAACTTAACACCTGGCCTGAACCCTGCATGTTTTAGATCAGAATTTCTGGAACCATGGACCAATGTGTGTTAAACGTGTTTAGTGTTTCTAGTGTGAAGCTTGGGCGAGAGAACCAGGGCACATGAGGGCAACAGAAATACTCTGTTTTAGCAGGGCACTTGGGAGCTGTTTGACTGAGAGGGAGAGGGTGGTGCACTCAGGGTTGGGTGGGGAAAACAGCATGTGTAAAAGAAACACCCTACGGCCTGTATCCAGAAACTGCCATGGGTCTGTTGGAAGTATCACCAGAGGAGGACAAGCGACATTCTTAAACAGGGGTTGTAATGGATGAGACAAAGCTAGCAGCTTCTTGGTTCCTTTTTGAGACGGGTTCTCGCTGTGTTTGAGACAGTTCTCGCTGTGTCTGAGACCGTTCTCACTGTGTCTGAGACAGTTCTCACTATGCTTGAGACAGTTCTCACTGTGCTTGAGACAGTTCTCACTGTGTCTGAGACAGTTCTCACTGTGTCTGAGACAGTTCTCGCTGTGTTTGAGACGGTTCTCACTGTGTCTGAGACAGTTCTCGCTGTGTTTGAGACGGTTCTGTGTTTGAGACAGTTCTCACTGTGTCTGAGACAGTTCTCACTGTGTCTGAGACAGTTCTCACTGTGTCTGAGACAGTTCTCACTGTGTCTGAGACAGTTCTCACTGTGTCTGAGACCGTTCTCACTGTGTCTGAGACAGTTCTCACTGTGTCTGAGACAGTTCTCACTGTGTCTGAGACCGTTCTCACTGTGTCTGAGACAGTTCTCACTGTGTCTGAGACAGTTCTCGCTGTGTCTGAGACCGTTCTCACTGTGTTTGAGACAGTTCTCACTGTGTTTGAGACAGTTCTCACTGTGTCTGAGACCGTTCTCACTGTGTTTGAGACAGTTCTTACTGTGTCTGAGACAGTTCTGTGTTTGAGACAGTTCTCACTGTGTCTGAGACAGTTCTCGCTGTGTCTGAGACCGTTCTCACTGTGTTTGAGACAGTTCTGTGTTTGAGACAGTTCTCACTGTGTCTGAGACAGTTCTCACTGTGTCTGAGACAGTTCTCACTGTGTCTGAGACAGTTCTCACTGTGTCTGAGACAGTTCTCACTGTGTCTGAGACAGTTCTCACTGTGTCTGAGACAGTTCTCACTGTGTCTGAGACAGTTCTCACTGTGTCTGAGACAGTTCTCACTGTGTCTGAGACAGTTCTCGCTGTGTCTGAGACCGTTCTCACTGTGTCTGAGACAGTTCTCACTGTGTTTGAGACAGTTCTCACTGTGTCTGAGACCGTTCTCACTGTGTTTGAGACAGTTCTTACTGTGTCTGAGACAGTTCTGTGTTTGAGACAGTTCTCACTGTGTCTGAGACAGTTCTCGCTGTGTCTGAGACCGTTCTCACTGTGTTTGAGACAGTTCTGTGTTTGAGACAGTTCTCACTGTGTCTGAGACAGTTCTCACTGTGTCTGAGACAGTTCTCACTGTGTCTGAGACAGTTCTCACTGTGTCTGAGACAGTTCTCACTGTGTCTGAGACAGTTCTCACTGTGTCTGAGACAGTTCTCACTGTGTTTGAGACAGTTCTCACTGTGTTTGAGACAGTTCTCACTGTGTTTGAGACAGTTCTGTGTTTGAGACAGTTCTCACTGTGTCTGAGACAGTTCTCACTGTGTCTGAGACAGTTCTCACTGTGCTTGAGACAGTTCTCACTGTGTCTGAGACAGTTCTCACTGTGTCTGAGACCGTTCTCACTGTGTTTGAGACAGTTCTTACTGTGTCTGAGACAGTTCTGTGTTTGAGACAGTTCTCACTGTGTCTGAGACAGTTCTCGCTGTGTCTGAGACCGTTCTCACTGTGTTTGAGACAGTTCTGTGTTTGAGACAGTTCTCACTGTGTCTGAGACAGTTCTCACTGTGTCTGAGACAGTTCTCACTGTGTCTGAGACAGTTCTCACTGTGTCTGAGACAGTTCTCACTGTGTCTGAGACAGTTCTCACTGTGTCTGAGACAGTTCTCACTGTGTCTGAGACAGTTCTCACTGTGTCTGAGACAGTTCTCACTGTGTCTGAGACCGTTCTCACTGTGTCTGAGACAGTTCTCACTGTGTCTGAGACAGTTCTCGCTGTGTCTGAGACCGTTCTCACTGTGTTTGAGACAGTTCTCACTGTGTTTGAGACAGTTCTCACTGTGTCTGAGACCGTTCTCACTGTGTTTGAGACAGTTCTTACTGTGTCTGAGACAGTTCTGTGTTTGAGACAGTTCTCACTGTGTCTGAGACAGTTCTCGCTGTGTCTGAGACCGTTCTCACTGTGTTTGAGACAGTTCTGTGTTTGAGACAGTTCTCACTGTGTCTGAGACAGTTCTCACTGTGTCTGAGACAGTTCTCACTGTGTCTGAGACAGTTCTCACTGTGTCTGAGACAGTTCTCACTGTGTCTGAGACAGTTCTCACTGTGTCTGAGACAGTTCTCACTGTGTTTGAGACAGTTCTGTGTTTGAGACAGTTCTCACTGTGTCTGAGACAGTTCTCACTGTGTCTGAGACAGTTCTCACTGTGCTTGAGACAGTTCTCACTGTGTCTGAGACAGTTCTCACTGTGTCTGAGACCGTTCTCACTGTGTTTGAGACAGTTCTTACTGTGTCTGAGACAGTTCTGTGTTTGAGACAGTTCTCACTGTGTCTGAGACAGTTCTCGCTGTGTCTGAGACCGTTCTCACTGTGTTTGAGACAGTTCTGTGTTTGAGACAGTTCTCACTGTGTCTGAGACAGTTCTCACTGTGTCTGAGACAGTTCTCACTGTGTCTGAGACAGTTCTCACTGTGTCTGAGACAGTTCTCACTGTGTCTGAGACAGTTCTCACTGTGTCTGAGACAGTTCTCACTGTGTCTGAGACAGTTCTCACTGTGTCTGAGACAGTTCTCACTGTGTTTGAGACAGTTCTCACTGTGTCTGAGACAGTTCTCACTGTGTCTGAGACAGTTCTCACTGTGTCTGAGACAGTTCTCACTGTGTCTGAGACAGTTCTCGCTGTGTCTGAGACCGTTCTCACTGTGTTTGAGACAGTTCTCACTGTGTTTGAGACAGTTCTCACTGTGTCTGAGACCGTTCTCACTGTGTCTGAGACCGTTCTTACTGTGTCTGAGACAGTTCTGTGTTTGAGACAGTTCTCACTGTGTCTGAGACAGTTCTCGCTGTGTCTGAGACCGTTCTCACTGTGTTTGAGACAGTTCTGTGTTTGAGACAGTTCTCACTGTGTCTGAGACAGTTCTCACTGTGTCTGAGACAGTTCTCACTGTGCTTGAGACAGTTCTCACTGTGTCTGAGACAGTTCTCACTGTGTCTGAGACAGTTCTCACTGTGTCTGAGACAGTTCTCACTGTGTCTGAGACAGTTCTCACTGTGTCTGAGACAGTTCTGTGTTTGAGACAGTTCTCACTGTGTCTGAGACAGTTCTCACTGTGTCTGAGACAGTTCTCACTGTGTCTGAGACAGTTCTCACTGTGTCTGAGACAGTTCTCACTGTGTCTGAGACCGTTCTCACTGTGTTTGAGACAGTTCTCACTGTGTTTGAGACAGTTCTCACTGTGTCTGAGACCGTTCTCACTGTGTTTGAGACAGTTCTCACTGTGTCTGAGACAGTTCTGTGTTTGAGACAGTTCTTACTGTGTTTGAGACAGTTCTCACTGTGTCTGAGACAGTTCTCACTGTGTTTGAGACAGTTCTTACTGTGTTTGAGACAGTTCTCGCTGTGTAGCCCATGCTGGCCTGGAACTCAGGCTGACCTCAGACTCTTGATGCTTCTTCCTGTGCTTCTGCATGCTGGGAAGACAGGAGTGTGCTGTCCTGTCTGTCTTAGAGATCCAGTTTCTTTTGCTGCTGGTCACTGCAGGGATCCACTTTGCGCCTCTTTGAGGAATCCTGGGTCGCTGTCTGTTTATTGACCAATTTTGAATGCATACACTGTCACTTTCTTCCTGCATTTTTCAATTGCCCCTCCCTTGTGTTTGCCCTTTCCTTTCCTATGTGGTGAGACTTGGCTTTTTGTTTTAGATTTTTCTTTGGTCAGCTTTCGCCTGGTGATGATACCTTGCTGGGGTGAGTGCCCACATGGACAGTTGTGCCGTCCACTTTTTCAATGTAGAGGACACATTTCTTCCTGAAAACCTGGACTGCTTTGCCACTTTGATGACTTTTGAGATGTTCTCTTACAACATGAACTTTATTGTCCTTTAATGGGCATAGATTGGACATTACAGTCAGCTCTTTGGAAAGAGGGAAAAACATGACATTCCCAAGTATGCAAAGGTGCGTTGAAATATGCCTTTTATGGTTCTTGCTTCAGTGAGAAGTCATAAGGGATTGGGCTTCACTTGGTGCCTGCCTCTCCAGCAATGACCACAAAGGGGCCCAGGCCTCTCTTTTTAGGTTTACATGTTATTTTGTGTTTGTGGGTGTTTGGCGTGTGTATCTGTGGACCTTTTGCAGGTGGTGCCCAAGGAAGCCAGAAGAGGGCATCAGAGCTCCTGTACTAGAGTTTCTGATGGCTGTGAGCTTGACTGTGTATTCTGGGAGGTGCACCTGGGTCCTCTGGAACAGCAGCCATACCTCCAGCCCCTGAGCTGGCTCTCCAGCCCTCTTCCCGCTTTTGTTGAGGCAGGGTCTCGCCGTGTAGTCCTAGCCATCTTAGAACTCAGTTTGTAGATCAGGCTGCCACTGAGCGCTGTGTGCCCCACTGCTGGCATTGGGTCTCTTGGCATGTGCTCTGCTCTCATTTTTAGTCTCTAGCAGACATGGTTACAACCTAGGTAAACAGCCCAGAAGGCTTTACACGGGGCATGCATATTTTGAAACATCACTTGGAAACTCATAAATAGGTACAATATTTTTTATACATCAGTTACAAAAAACAGGCACTCCTTGACAAAATGGAATTCAGAAGGCTTTCGTCTGCCCCCAAGGCCTTATCTTGTCCTGAATAGGGGGTTCCTCTAGGGGTTAGCTGGAAGCCCAACAATGGGACCTGAAATGCCAGTAAGAAGCAGATCGAGCCCACTTTGTGTTACTAGGTCACAAGGTCCTATCAGGACAGGAAAGTCAGCCAAAGCAGGAGGAGCAGGAGGAGAAGGAGAAGAAGGAGAAGGAGAAGGAGAAAGCCACCATGAAATGTGTGAGTGTGCACCGGGGCCTCCGCTGGGCAGTTTCTATCTCTCTTACTGTGTAGTAAACCAGCCCAAAGTATAAGCTGCAGTGATCTATCTATTCAGTTAGGTTTTTTTTCTTGAGACAGGATGTTGTTATGTAGCTCTCAGGCTGGCCTAGAACTTGCTATGCAACCCAGGATGACTTCAGACTTGATCTTACTGCTTCAACCTCCAGAGGAGTATGGTCACAAGCTCATGCTGCTGTGCCTAGCCCATGATGTGTTGTTTCTAATAAGTCTTGGTTGACTGGACAGTTTTTCTTCTCCCACTTGAGTGGGAGGGGGCTATTAGCCAAGCTGCCTGTGTTCTTATCTATTATTTCTCTCTAGGTGATTTATTGGTGCTTGTTGACAGACTAGTCACTGTCTATCTTTTAAAAAATACATTTATTTTATGTGTATGTTACTGCTTGAGAGGGAGTGTATTATGTATGTGCAGTGCCTGAAGTGGCCACAAGAGGGCATCAGATTACCGGGAACTGGAATTGGAATTGTGGGTAGTTACTTGCTTCCTGATGTGGGGGCTGGGAACTAAACATTATTACTAGGGTAACAGTTGCTCTCAACTGCTGAGCCGTCTCTCAGTTGTTTGTTTGTTTTTCTAGTCATTCCTTAAGTTATGAACTTGAAAGACCCCAATAGGGATACTTTCACGGAAGGGAGACCCGTACCCAAGGAACAGCGAGACCACGAACTTGGATGCAACAGCAAGAGGCTTTATTGGTGACATACGGGTACCCGGGCGTCTCAGTCTCGGGGAACTGAGCGCGCCGAGCTGGGGACTCAGGGGTTCTTTTATAGCAAAAAGCGCAGTACAGAAGCGAGAAGCCTAGTAACAGGACCCTGATTGGGCAATTTAAATGAGGCTAGGGCTCAGAGCGCGGGCAATTGAGGTTTTTCTTGGAACTCAAGTCTCGGCCTTGGCCCTATCTGAGGAACAATTGGTCTCTGTGTTTGCTCAACCCTGCTGAGCTGGCCATCCGGTCGCCCGCAGACACCCGGCAGCCTGTGTCCTTGGGCTGAGCTCCCTTCTGATAGGCAATGACTACGCAGCTGTGGGGACCTTGGGCTGAGCTCCCTTCTGATAGGCAATGACTACGCAGCTGTGGGGAAACGGAATTTTCCATAAGCCTCAGCTGCCTGTTTAGACTGGGCCAGGGTCTTTCATTCCCCCATTGCTCTTGTAACTGAATGGAATCTTTCATTCAGTAGTTTCTGCCATCTCGAGATCCCTTTGTTTTAGCTGCTGGTACTGTTGGGTTAAGACCAGGGATTGTACAACCGATAACCTTTCTTTTATGAACTGGGTCAGTCTGTTTAAGATGCATGGCCCAAACATCAGAACCAAAAGTATAATGATCAGGGGTCCCAATCCTCCCCCACCAGATCACATAGATCAAAATACAGGGTGGGGAAGGTGTCTGTCAGAGCCCCAAGTTGGGAACTCAGGTTTGCAGTCTGTCCCGTCCCCAGATTGGTTATCACCCAAGTAATATTGAATACTCGGTGAGGACTTCCCTCAATAAGGGGAAAGGTAAGCATGAAGCATAAGAAGGCAATCAAACAACTCGGGAGAGTCTTATCTTTAGAGGATTTTGAGTGCGCTGAGCCTTCCATCCTGGGTCCGGATCCTCAGGGGAGGCAGCTTTTACATGCGAGGCGTGTATCCAAGCAGCAATCCCGTCCACCTTGAGAGCAGTAGGGGTGGTCAACAGGACAGTGTATGGTCCCTTCCAGCGGGGTTCAAGGTTCTTAGCCTGGTGGCGTCGGACCCAAACGCTGTCTCCCACGTGGTAGGAGTGAGGGACGATAGGGTGTCTCCTCTGGTCTCGGTAGGCTTGGGCCAGGGGCTTCCAGACTTCCTGCTGGACCAGCTGGAGTGCCTGCAGGTGAGCTTGAAGAGAGGGGGAATTGGCATAGTCAGAAATATCTTGGTCAAAGAACTGAACAAAGGGAATGGTGGTTCCATATAAAATTTCAAAAGGGGTGAGGCCATGGGGGCCCGGTGTATTCCGGGCACAATAGAGGGCAAGGGGGAGCAAGAGGACCCAGTCTTTAGTGCCAGTTGCAAGCGATAATTTAGTTAGAGTCTCCTTAATGGTTCTATTTATTCGCTCTACCTGTCCTGAGCTTTGGGGTCGGTAAGCACAATGTAATTTCCAATCAATCCCCAATAAGGTGGCCACAGACTGACTTACCTGAGAAACAAAGGCAGGCCCGTTGTCTGTCCCCAATACCTGTGGCATTCCGTAACGGGAGAAGATTTAAGAAGTTTCTTGGTGACCACCTTTGCCGTCTCATGCTTGGTAGGGTAAGCTTCAGTCCATCCTGAAAAGGTGTCAACAAAAACCAGGAGGTACTTGTATCCATATTTTCCTGGTTTGATTTCTGTGAAATCTATTTCCCAATGCACCCCAGGCCGGTGCCCCCGAGCTCGAGTCCCCATGGGTAGCTTTAGCCTGGTCGCATTTACGCGGGCGCAGGCGTCACATCGCTCAGTCACTTGTTTTAGTAATTCTTCTATTCCCAACAGGTGGCGGGTATTTTCTTCCCGGGCTAATAGTTCTCGCATTTTCCTGGGGCTCAAATGAGTGAGTTAGTGTAGGCGGTTAATCAGATATCTAGTCATTAGGCGGGGAAGGACAGTTTTTCCTTGATAGGTCCAGAGACCATCATGTACTCGGGTCGCCCCCAGTCTTTTCATGGCCTTGATGTCTTCTATCTCATAGTCCCATGACGGAGAGGTCTTCTCGGAAGCCTCATTTGTTACAGGGACTACAGCTGCCTGAAGGAGGTGACTGCTGTTTTCCATGGCCAGGGCAGCCTCCCGGGCGGCCAGGTCTGCCCTCCGATTTCCCCGGGCGACTGGGCTGTCGCCTTTCTGATGCCCTGGGCAATGTATGATACTGAGGGCGGTTGGCAGGTGCAGAGCTCCCAAGAGGGCCAGGATTTCCTTTTTGTTTTTAATGTCTCTGCCCTCTGAGGTCAATAGCCCCCTTCGCCTATAAATTTCACCATGGATGTGAGCTGTGGCGAAGGCGTAGCGGCTGTCTGTGTAGACAGTGAGTTTCTTACCTTCTGCCAGTCTCAGGGCCTGTGTTAAGGCGATCAGCTCTGCTCGTTGGGCCGATGTTCCCGGCGGCAGGGCCTCGGCCCAGATTGTTTCCAGTTCAGTTGTTACCGCAGCGCCGGCTTTCCACTTGGCTCCCGGCCTCGGGCCGCGCAGCGCCCGCCGCGCGCGCCCGCGGAGCGTTTCCGACCACCGCGCGGCTGTTCCCACAGCCTTGCCTCCCTCCCTCCCCTTGATGTACAAAGCTGCTTCCGTCTGTGAACCAGACGTGGTCGGGGTTGGGAATGGGTTTATCCGTGAGGTCAGCTCTCGTCCCATGGACCTCAGCCAGGACCTGCAAGCAGTCATGAGTCTCTGCTTCCCCAGGAAGGGGAAGTAGCGAGGCGGGGTTTAGGGTCTCCTGAGCCCCGAAGTGAATTCGGTCCTTGTCCAGCAACAGAGTCTGGTAATGGGTCATCCTGGCATTGGTGAGCCAGCGGCCCGGTGGCTGCCTGATGACCGCCTCCATAGCAGGGGGGCATAAATAGTCAAAGGCTGCCCCAAAGTCAATTTGTGAGAGTCCTTTGTGAGGACTGCAGTGGAAAAAGGAGTGCGTCACCTTACCGGTTGCTAGGTGGAGCTGGCGGTCTGTGGTCCATCGATACTGCTTCCCGCCGATGGCCCCTTGCATCCAGGCGGTTCAGCGGCTCAGGGGGGGGGGCTCCTGGCCCTGACCTCCCTAACCTTCGAGGCTCAGGAGGTCGGAGGTTTGAGAACGGGTTTTGGGTCTTTGAAATGTCCTTCTTTGTTTCTTGGGGCACTCCCTGGCCCAATGTCCTTTTTCCTTGCAGTATGCACATTGGTCTCTTTCTAGGCGAGGCCCCCTTTGTCTCTCTCTCTGCCTATCCTGTCTCTGCTCTGCGACTACTGTGGCCAACAGTTTAGTCATTTCTCTGTTACGCTTCTTGTCCCTCGCTATCTCCCTCTCTTCAATTTCCCATCTCTGACGTTCTGCCCTTTCTTGATCCTCTTTTCTCCATCTCTCTTCCCTCTCTTCCTGGGTTTCTCTCTTGTTAAAGATGCGCTCCGCCTCTCTTAATACATCTGGTAGAGTACAACCCTGTAAATTCTCCAGCCGCTGTAATTTGTTTCTGATGTCTGCGGCCGACTGCCAGATGAAAGACATGGTCAGGCCAGTGGCTTGCCCGGGGCCCTCAGGGTCATATGGGGTATACATTCTGTAAGCTTCCTTAAGTCTTTCTAAAAATGTGGCTGGTGATTCCTCTGCCTTCTGAACTATCTGTCTTACCTGGGCCAAATTTGTAGGGCGCCTACCTGCCCCTCGGAGACCCGCTACAAGCAACTGGCGATAAAGACGTGGATGGGTCCTATCTGCCTCAGTGGTGAAGTCCCAGTCTGGGCGGTCAAGGGGGAAAGCAGCATCAATTTCATTTGGAAGCTGTGTAGGTTGTCCATTTGCCCCAGGAACATTCTTCCGGGCTTCAAGAAGGACCCACTGTTTTTCCTCCGAAGTTAGGAGGACCTGCAAAAGCTGTTGGGTAGTGAGAACCGATTCTAATAGATCAGTCAGTCTCACGGGGTCTGCTGAAAAGGAAGGGTTATTATTTTTCCAGTTATAAAGATCTGAGGCAGAGAACGGCCAGTACTGCAACTGGCCATCGGGGCCCGTACGGGGAGGCAGGGCGGTGGAATCAGGAGTGGGCTGTTCCCTGTGGCCTCGCAACCTGGAGGCCATAGGTGAAGGCTCCGGATCGGCGGATGGCAATGGTAGGGCCTCAGCTGCTGCTGCTGGCTGTTCTGCTGGAGGAGCCTGGTACGGTGGGGGTTCCTCCGTCAGGAGGTCAAGCAGAAGTCCGTCCTCAGGAGGGAGGACCTTAGGTCTTCCTCCATTTTCTTTTTGTTTAGTTACGGTGGGATAAAGGTTAGAGTGGGAAGGCTGAGGGTGCGGGGAAGGGGGGGTGCTGAGGGATTGGAATTGGCGGGGATTAGGGAAGAGGAGGAGGGGGGACCTCCTGGGTGCACAAAGGGGCGCACCCAGGGAGGAGGGTCATAGACCAGCGCTTCCCAGGTAACTATATAGGGTACTTGGTCCGGGTGGCCCTGGGGTCCAGGATCCATGACTTTCTCCTTCACCTGGAAGATAATTTGAGGGTTAAAGGTGCCATCTTGTGGCCAGCCAACATCAAAAGTTGGCCATTTAGAAGAGCAAAAGGTGATCCATTTCTTCTTGCGCACATCGACAGACTGGTTATGAGCATACTCCTGAACCTGTTGCCAATGTGAAAGGGTCAGACTGAGCGGAGTGGTAACTGTCTGGCCCATCTCCTCGAGAGCGATGGCTAACGACACTAAGACAGACGAACAAATAAGAAACAAAAACAGATTTTCGCTGTGCGGCTTTGACGTAAAGTCAAAAGCAAAAATTCAGATGGGCTCAGGGACGGGGGCCTCGTGCTCCCGTCCTCGTCCCCTACAAGGATGGAAAATCCCTCGGCCAGCGGGACTTCCCCAAACAGACGGGGCAGATTCCTAGACATCTACCCCTAACCCAGATGAGTCCTTAAGGACTCCAGACGCTACCAGAACGTCTCCTGGAGCTGCGGTCGGGAGTATGAACTCGTCAGTTCCTCCTCGGTGCCACCAGATACAGATGCATACAGCTGTATACTACAGACGCAGGCGCGAGAAAATAACAGGCAAAGACAGACAGCAGACAACAGAAATTGAGTCCGGACAATTCTTACCTCCCAGAAGTGGGTCGGTGGTCCCTGGGCGGGGGTCTCAAAGTTCCTGGCCAATGCACCAAATGAAAGACCCCAATAGGGATACTTTCACGGAAGGGAGACCCGTACCCAAGGAACAGCGAGACCACGAACTTGGATGCAACAGCAAGAGGCTTTATTGGTGACATACGGGTACCCGGGCGTCTCAGTCTCGGGGAACTGAGCGCGCCGAGCTGGGGACTCAGGGGTTCTTTTATAGCAAAAAGCGCAGTACAGAAGCGAGAAGCCTAGTAACAGGACCCTGATTGGGCAATTTAAATGAGGCTAGGGCTCAGAGCGCGGGCAATTGAGGTTTTTCTTGGAACTCAAGTCTCGGCCTTGGCCCTATCTGAGGAACAATTGGTCTCTGTGTTTGCTCAACCCTGCTGAGCTGGCCATCCGGTCGCCCGCAGACACCCGGCAGCCTGTGTCCTTGGGCTGAGCTCCCTTCTGATAGGCAATGACTACGCAGCTGTGGGGACCTTGGGCTGAGCTCCCTTCTGATAGGCAATGACTACGCAGCTGTGGGGAAACAGAATTTTCCATAAGCCTCAGCTGCCTGTTTAGACTGGGCCAGGGTCTTTCAAACTTAGAGCTAAAACAGTGTTACTTCTTGCACCATTTATTGACTAAAAAAGCCATGATTTCATTTGAATTCCCAGGAGTGAAAATAGACCACATCTCTTGATGAGAGCAGTGGCAGTCTGAAGCATCTGTCTCTGGCGCAGGCTTCCCTTGGTTGATCTCTGGAAACAGGAGAAGTGGGTCCTGGCTTCATCTGGGTGGTCTGGATGTGTGATTAGGCTTTCTTTCTTTTATTTTGTCTGGGATGTTAAGTTCCCCAAGAAGAGTGTCTGTCTTTTACAAGGTTCTTTTAGTTTGCTAAGGTGCAGACTCACGTTTCTTCTGCTTACCCCGATGAGTTTTAGGTTTCTACAGACAACTCGGTCCCATATGACTTCGACAACTACTACACAGAATACTACACAGAGAGTAAGCGGAGGAATCTTACTGAGTGCGTGCAGATGGGGAGAGCTGACCCTGGGCATGGCTGACTTTCTGAGGAGGGGGGCGGGGGTGGAGGGGTGTGTAGTGTGTGTGTGTGTGTGTGTGTGTGTGTGTGTGTGTGTGTGTGTGTGTGTGTGTGTGAGCACAGCCCTATGCTTTGGAGAGGTCTTAAAGAGAGCCAGTGTTTTATAAAATGCCTCGTGTCACACTTATTTGGGAGAAATCTGCTACACTATTAATGGTTGGGTCTTCTTTTAGGTTCTGAAACATATGAGTCAATTTACAAGGACATGAGTGACATGGACGAGAAGATGCTGGGAATGTCTTCCAGCCAAAGCAGTAGCCCCAGGAGTATGTCCAGAAGTATGAACGCAACTGGCTGGAACCCTGAGCTCAAACTGCTGAGGATTCTTCAGGCCAGTATTGAGGACGATGAGGAGAACCATCTTTCCAGGGCACAGAGTGAGGTGTCTCTGGATGCTTAGGCTGGAGACATCACACGGGGCAGCTGTAGCCAGCGCAGATCTTGGTATTTGGAGGACAATGACCTTGGATGTTGGATAGAGAAGAGAGACTTTTGTTCTCTGGGTCCCTCCAGCGGGACCAGGGTTAGAGACCCGCTTTTCGTTTGCTTCTTACCTCTAAAATGAGTGAGAAAAAGCCCCAATCCCACCAAATACAGGAAAGTTTCCCAGGGCAGAGTATTTCCACGATTAAACACAGTCCCTTCTAACAGGAGGTAGCGGTTCCTTGTGTCTATTTTCTGGGTCCCCTTTATCTCTCTTCTGAAATCCTTGTAGTGGTAGGAAGTTGGGTTCAGCTATGGGAACTTCTACACTGTCCCTAACTGCCCCTCCCGTCCCCTGGAGATGACTTCCTTTGGTGGTGGGGTCTGCACCACTATCAAGTGGTAGTCACTGTGTGATACTCCCATCCCAGAGTTCATCTTATCTACAAATAATTCAGTATGTATCTCTAAAAGAAAAGCACTAACATCTAAAAATTATTTCATTCCACAGAATTAATACTTATTGCTTGATTTCACATATCCAAGCACATTCAAACTTCCATGTCTTATTAAAGTTTGTTTTTGTTTTTGTTTTTACGAGACAAGGTTTCTCAGTATTGTTTCGGAGGCTATCGGTCCAGCCCGGCCTCGAACTCACAGAGATCCGCCTGCCTCTGCCTCCCGAGTGCTGGGATTAAAGGCGTGTGCCACCACCGCCCGGCAAAGTTTTTTTTTTTTTAACAATTGACATATTCACATTAGAATTCAAACAAGGTCTATAAGTTGCATTTTCTCAGGAAACTGTGAGGCTTGAATGATGATGGGCTTCTGGTTCATGAGAACAGACTGGTGTCTTGCTTATGCTTCTCTTGCTGTGATAAGGCACAGTAACCAAGGCAATTCTAAAACAAAGTGTTTAATTCACTCACAGTTTCATGGGCTGGAGTCCATGATGATGGAGTGAAGTCCTGACAGCAAGAACCATTGAGGGCTTGTGTCTTGATCTGAGAGGGAGAGGGAGAGAGCACTGGGTATTGTGCAATCCCTTTGAAGCCAGTTCTCAGTGACACATCTCCATCGAGGCTCACTTCCACCAATTGGGGGCCAAGTACTCAAGTGTAGGAGCCTGGGGCCCTTCTCATTCAAAACACACAACTGATCAAGTAGGAGAGTGTGTGATATCTTGATCTACAGTTCTTACAGGCTCACACATGCTTGGTGGACCTGGTTTTGTGCTCTTCTCCTGGACCCTGTTAGGTCTGGGTGAGATGGCTCAGGTGTGAAAGTCCTTGCTGTGGAAAACTGAAGACCCAAGCTCGGCTCTCTGACCCCACCGTGGAAGGAGTTCTAATTTCTGAAGGTTGTCCTTTGGCTTCCATGCATATGACATGACTCATGTCTGCCTGCACTCATATCTACAAGCCACAAATAACACAATAGATTCAATAAAATTTAAGAGAAAGTTGGGGTAAGATTGCACATGTCTTGTGCAGCTACCTCAGTGGCTGTGAAGTCACGAGCGGTCTGACATGGGTGCTGGGAACTGAACTTGGCTCTTCCACAAGAGCAGTGAGCAACCTAACCACTGAGCCACTGAGTCCCTCAGTTTTCTTTGTCTGACTGTACCATTTAGTAGAGAGTTAACAGAAGTGGTGAGAGCGGACATCCTTGCCTCACCGTTGAGCTTAGGAGAATGAAGATGTAATGCAGTCTTTTGCCGCAGAGTCTGTTGTTGGCTAAGGGTCTTTTCATAGAAATCTCTATTAGATTAGTTTTTCTTCTGTCCTTAGCTTGTTGGGATTGTTCTGTTCTTCAGCTGTGCAAAGACATTTAATTTTTTTTCCTATTGTAATGAGTAGATATTTTTGGTTGTTTATTCTATTGGTATATCACTATTTATTTATTTGGCTATTAAATCAACCTGCATTCCTGGGATAAATTTTACTTGACTGTGGCATATGACTATTTATATATATATATATATCTCTGGATTCAACTTGCTGGCTTTTTTTTTAAAGAGAGGATCTTACTGTGTAGCTTGGGCTAATATATCAGTTATTATGTAGCTGAGGTTGGCCTCAAACCTACAATCCTCCTGCCTCAGCCTCCTGAGCAGTTGGATTAAAGGCTTGCATCACCATGTTCTATAGTCCTATTGGCTGTAACTTTCTTGTGATGTTCCTAGTTTTGATATCAAAAGCTCATAATAAGTTGGGAAGTTTATGTATTTATCTGATGGTATTCTTTGTTTTTTGGGGGAGTTGGTAAAGATGTTTAATTCTTTAACTTTTGCTAGAATGTGCCAATGGGGCTGGGCCTTTCTTTTGTGGTAGTTTTTATTTTTTATTTTTTTAAATAAATTTTTATTTCAATTGAAAACAATCTTATTTTACATACAAATCCCAGTTCCCTCTCCCTCCTGTCCTTCCATTCCCCCCACCAGCCCCCAATCCCAAACCCCAACCACTCCCCAGGGAGGGTGAAGCCTCCCACGAGGGATCATCAAAGTCTGTCACATCATTTAGGGCAGTGACTAGGCCCTCCCCATGTGTCTAGGCTGAGAGAGTATCCCTTCATGGGGAATGGGCTCCCAAATTCCATTCATGCACTAGGGATAAATACTGGTTCCACTGCCAGAGGCCCCATAGACTGCCCAGGCCTCCCAACCGACATCCACATTCAGGGGGCCTGGTTCAGTTCTATGCTGGGCCCCCAGTTGTCAGACTGGGGTCCTTGAATGTCCACTTGTTCAGGTCAGTTGTTTCTGTGAGTTTCCTCAGCATGGTCTTGACCCCTTTGCTCATCACTCCTCCCTCTCTACAACCGGATTCCAGGAGTTTGGCTCAGTGCTTTTTTTTTAAACTACGAACTCAACCTATTGTTGTAAGTCTTTAGAATGCCTCCCTCCCTCCCTCCCTCCGTCCCTCTGTCCCTCCCTCCCTCCCTCCCTCCCTCCCTATTTTTATGTGTCTGTGAGTTTTATCTGTATGTATGTCTGTGCACCATGCCTGGTGTCTTTGGAGGCCCTGGTTATGAGCTGCTGTGTGGTTGCTGGGAATCGAGCCCAGGTCCTCTGAAGGAGCAGCCAGTGCTCTTTACTGCCCAGCTGTCTTTCCAGCCCTGTTTCTTCTTTAGTCTGTTTCTGTAGTTTCTAAAAATCTGTCTTGTTTCATCTAAATTTCCATTTCTTAGTATATAGTTAGATATGTTATTTCTTTGTAATCACTTTTTTGGGGGGAGGTTCAAGACAGGGTTTCTCTGAGTAGTCCTGACTGTCCTGGAACTCACTCTGTAGACCAGGCTGGTCTGAACTCACAGAAATCCACCTGCTCCTGCCTCCCAAGTACTGGGATTAAAGGCATGCACCGCCACTGCCTGGCTCTGTGTGTGTGTGTGTGTGTGTGTGTGTGTGTGTGTGTGTGTGTGTGTGTGTGTGTGTGAGATTTCTAATGATCCCTTTTATTTCTGTAAGGTTGACAGTAAGGTCTCCATGTTCTTCTTATGCCTGCTTCTCTCTCTCTCTCTCTTTTAACTGACTTGTAGCTTACTGTGAGCTGACCTTGAAGTCCTGACCTTCTCCCTCCTGGGTGTTCATAGTATAGTATAGTCAGTTTGCCTCCTGGATCACACCCCCTATCATTCCTGATTAGTAGAATCAGACCAGAGTCTTCCTTTTTTGTTTTTGTTTTTTGTTGTCGTTTAGTTAATGATTGGTTTTCTTTTTTTTTTCATTAAAACAATTCTCTATAGTTTCCTGCCTTCTTGTTCCTGTTTCCTTTTTTCTGTTTGCTTTGGCTGGTTGTTCTTTCCCCAGTGTCTTAAGGTAGAAGACAGGTTGTTTGTTTGTTTGTTTGCTTTTGCAGTAGTGGGGATTGGGTCCAGAGCCACACACACTAGGCAAGTGCTCTGCCACTGATCCGTAAACCTCCACCTTTCTCTTTACCTTTTGAACATGGGTCTCACTTTTTACCTTAAAAATCCATTTTATTTTATTTTAATTTTATTTGGTTACAAATAAAAACATAACATTTTTTGATTCTTTGGGAGTTTTACATCATGCCTCTGATCGTGCTCACTTCCCAGTTCTCCCGTGTCCATCCCCCTTCCCTTGTGACCTCCATGCAAAAAGAAAATGAAGGAAGAAAAGAAAAAAAAGAAGGAAAAATCCACTTTGTGTTGCCCATGTACTCAGTGGGTCATGTTCAAACTTCCCGTGGCCAGCACCCCGAGGAAAGCTGAGTCCTGCCCCATCTGCCCCCACCAGAAGCCATCAACTTTTTAAGAGTTCTCTTTGACGACTTCCTTTTTAGGTCGATGCTTTTGGGGTGGATGGGTGGGGTGAGGGTTGCTACAGATGCCTTCTACATTTCTCTCATCTGCCGTTGTCAGCACCACTCCAAGAGTAGCTTCCTTGCCCTTTGCGGTCAGTGGGAACTCGGGTCCTGGCCTCTACATGGTTTCTGGCAACAGCACGGACCACGAACATCTGTGTGGTCTCACTTGCCAAGGACCTCTGCTTGGACTCTGGTGGTAGTGCAGCCCGGGGACATCCACATGACCCTCTGCCCAAACACAGGCCTCCGACCAGGACTGCCTCAGGGAGAAGTGAGGATCATGGAGGTCTTTGGGGAGTCCAATCCAGCGAATGGGTCAGTCTTCACCTGGAGCATCGTGAGGCTGGGCCGCTTGTTCCGGGGTCGAATCTACCCAAGCTGCAGGCTTCTGCACACCACCCTGCTGACCCTACTGGGTAGCCACCTGTTCCCTCACCAACTACTGCAGTCTCATACCCGTCACAGCTGTCTCCAGTTCCAACTCCCACACACGGTTCTGCTCCTCCTTTTTTCCTGCCTCACCATCATATATTTGTTCCTTGTAGTGGTATTGGAAGCTGCAGTGTGTCAGAATGTACCCTTCTGTCCAAAAGCTTTGCATGCAAATGTTCACTGCAATGAGTCATTGGTCTGGTTCCAGGTCTCTGGCTTCTGCCACACCATCAATACTGGACCCTTGCTGAGACTCCTCTCAGATATCCTGCTGTTGTCCAGAGTCATGGAGATGCTATGGCCCTGGTACTGCAGGACCAGCATCTTCACACACTCCAGTAGGCTCATAAGTGGGGTAGATGTTGTTTGTGGTGGATCTGAGTCTGGGTGGTGGCTGAGTTGGTCAGCCCAGGCCTCTGCCAGACTGGCCAAGGGCAGGGCCTAGGTTTCATTTGTTGAGACAG